CCTCTTTCTATTTCTTTCGTCTCTCCCCCTCTCCCTTTCTTTCATCTCCCTTTCTCTTTTCTCTTCTTTCTTTCCTCTTTCCTTTCTTTCCTCTCTCCCCCTCCCTCTTTCTCTTTCCCCTCCCTTTCCTCTACCTCCCTTTCTCTTTCCTCTTTCTTCTCCCTTTCTCTTTCCTCTCTTTCTCCCTTTTTCCTCTTTCCTCTCCCCCTTTCCTCTCTCTCCCTTTCTTTCTTTCCTCTTTCTCCCTTTCTACCTTTCTCTCCTCTTCCCTTTCTCTTTCCTTTCCTCTTTCTCCCTTTCTCTTTCCTCTTTCCTTTCCTTTCTCCCTTTCCTCCCTTTCTCCCTCTTTCTATTTCTTTCCCCTCTCTCCCCCCTCCCTTTCTTTCTTCCTCTTTCTTTCCTTTCTCCCTTTTCTCTTTCTCTTTCCTCTCTCCCCCTCTCCCTTTCTTTCATCTCCCTTTCTCTTTCTCCCTCTTTCTCTTTCTTTCCTTTCTCTCCCCTCTCCCTCTCTCTTTCCTCTCCCTTTCTCTTTCTTCCTCTTTCCTCTTTCTCTTTCTTTCCTCCCTCTTTCCTCTCTCTCTCTCCCTCTCTTTTTCTCTTCACCTCCCCCCCCCTTTACTAACAGAACCAGTTCACCTACCAAAACATTTAACTTCCTCCTTTAGAGATGGGCAATGTGGATTCACCACATTCTGACAAAGAGAAATGCCAGCACCTCTCATCAATTCTGCTGCAGGGACAGCAAACGCTGTATGTTAGCAATATCTGGAGAGCGACAGTTCATCCGCACCCTCCTGAAAGGCTGTCCCATCCGTTGCAATCTCACGCTTTGAAAGGCCCCTCCCCCTCCTCCGCTTCAAGCCGACTGCACCCAGCAGGGAGCCTCAGTAGCCGGCGCGGAAGGGATCAGGGGAGGAAAAGAGACAGACCGTCTCCTCGCAGCTCACTTCCAATCCCAAAGTGGTGAATCCTGCTTAGGATTTGGGACTGAGAGGGGGGAAATCCTGGCTCCTAAGCTGCAGGCACTTCCAACCATAGAGCTTGCTCGGCTCTGTTCCCAGCCAGCGCCACGCGTGCGCAAAACAACAGCAACAAAATACTGCGATCGAGACTTACCCGCCTGCCTGGCTCCCGGACCTCGGTAGCAAGCCATTTGAAGCAAGCAGCCTCGTTCGCAGAGAGGAGAGGAGAGAGTGAGGGCGGATGAGCTGAGTTTGTGGCAGGGATAACAAGGGTTCGGGAGAAGCTAGCACGAAAGTTCCGTGTCTTTTGACTTAGCTCGCCTTGTCCCCCACTGGTTCTTTGCCCGAACAAGTCACCCTCTCTCTTTCTCTCTTTCCTCTGCCCCCCCCCCCTCTCCAGATGAGGAGAGAGAGAGAGAGAAAGAAAGGCAGACGGCGCCAAAGGGGCAGGGAGGGGACGGAGGCAGGAGGCGGTAAAAGTCACTGAAAGGTGCCCGGGACCCCACGGACCAGCCCAGGGAGATGCATGGTGAGCTCAGCTGCCTAGGGAACGGCCTGGGGACGGCCCAGGAAGTGATGCCCCCCTGCTGCAGCCTGCCTGGCCCAGGGAGACATATGGCCGGGTGAGTGGCCCAGGGACGGCACAGGAAGCAATGTCCCCCTGCCACCCAGCCCGGCCTGGGGAGACGCAGCCGCCGCCCCAGCCAGGACTGCCACCTGGCCCGGGCAGACACGTGGCCGGCTCGACGGCCCAGGAAGTGATGTTCCTGCCGCCCCAGCCGGGACTGAAGCCTGGGGGGGCCAGCAGGAGGGGGAGGGGGAGGGGGGAGGAGGAGGCTCCGGAGCCGCAGGAGATGGCTCAAAGAGCCGCATGCGGCTCCGGAGCCGCGGGTTGCCGACCCGTGGTCTAGCCCAAGCTGCTTGCAGCCAAAGTCCCAGAGCACGAACCTAAACATCAGTGAACAGCGTGCTTGGAATTGGTGAGAGTACTGATCTTCTTTCTTCTATCTACTATTTAAATCCTTGAAAAGATCCCCAAAGCAAGAAAACCTCCAGAAGTGAAGGGAGGGGACTGTATCCCCAGTCCCTTACAGACATAAAAAGTGGAAAGAGATATACTAAAATTTGATTTAAAATATTTCAGTCTGGACAAATCTAGGAACTAAAAAACTGTCAAGATTATACCCTAAAAAATTTCTGATGGAATTATAAAAATATGTAACAAAAATAACTTTTTGATTGAAAGAAAAACTGAAAAGAGAAATAACTGCTGACACCTAGTGGAGAATCAGAGAATAGAATACTAACAATAAGTAACAATAAGGACTCATAAATTGGCAGAATGCCTAAAAACAAAGAAAAAGCTGTTCCTTTGAATTGCAAATAACCTTGAAGACAGCTGGGAACAAAGGAAGAGCCAGCTATAAGATTAAAAAGTGTTTGAAAGGGAAAAAAAACACCTGGACTGTTGCTTAAACCTAACAACTGTTTATGGGGGGGGGGGGAAAAAACCTTGGCTTTTTGGCTAATCTATTAGAGGAGAATTTGCAGGAAGGATTTAAAGTGGCTTAATATACTGAATCTGTAATTTTGACTGATAAATTGACTTTTGAATTAAAACATTGATGAAAGATTATTTGAAGGGGAGAGACAACATGGATATCATATACGTATAAAAAAATGACAGGATGCCACATTCAATATTTTCTCGTGAAGGACTTTGCCTGGAAAATCAAGGGCCTCCAGAAGCAATACTTCAAGGCAAGATAAATACTTTCCCGGAGGAAATATATGTAATGTTAGGACAAATACAAATGGCAATAGATTCAAACCACGACAAAATTCGAAACAACTTTGAGGATTTAAATAAGCATATTTCCAATCTAAATCTACAATTAAAAAATACCCAGGAAATAACAACAAAGGAACAAACAAATCAGACAACAGATTACAAACTAGAAGAGTATGATCAAATTGATGAAAAAACAAAGGAAAAGAATTACAATTTGACACAAGCAGGAAAAAATCTACAAGGTTCTGATACAACAAGAAAAATGGAATTATTAGGAGAATTATTAAAGTTTGGGGGACAGAAAGAATTTATCTTACTTACTTCATCTCTTGTATTCCCAACAACATTTGTAAAAATACAGGAACTGTTGGGTAAGCGGATTACATCAACTTGGAAAATTACTTGGCAAAAGAAGAAGATCAGAGAAAGATACAAGGGATTTGACTCGCCCTACTGGATGGACTATTACGTGAATAAACATTTCTTTGAATATGGCTAAAAGAACAGAGAATTTTGAACATAAAGGGGCCTTATAACAAGAAGGATAATGAGATTTAAATAATATAGTATGTTTTATAATATATTAAACGTTAAAATAGTAGGTTGATGTAACTTTTATTAATATATAAGTAAAATATAAACTGATTAAAAAGGATGTTATATCTAGATACTATAAGAGATAAAAAATATAGTATTTTTATAATGCATGACATAAAATATTGGGATGATGTACCTAAATGGGAAAATTTAGACAGTGAGATGACTAATGTGAAGAAATTATGACTGATAAGAATTGGATTGAACATAAGGGAATCTAAGCGAACAAAAATTATAAAAATAGGATGTATGCTGAACTAATGAGATGATGGTTATGAGAATATAAACTGAAAAAAATGTTAGAGATTATTATTTGTATAAATATAAAAAATGCCTATACCTAATCATTTATAGATTGAAATTATTAAGAATTATATTTTGGCTAAGGTTGAAGAAGGAAAATACAAATGGGAGAAGGGAAGATCAAAGAAATGTATTGTTAATTAATATATTAATTATGGAATTATCAAATTTAATCATTACTGACTGTTAATTCATTATTACTATCTTTTTTTTTCTTGTTAAAATATAAACCAAGACAACACGCTGTACACCAGGCACTGGAGATTGTTCTAGTTAAAACCAATAAAATATCTATTAAAAAAAAAGAGAGAGAGAGAGAGAGAGAGAGAGAGAGAGAGAGAGAGAGAGAGAGAGAGAGAGAGAGAGAGAGAGAGCAGGGCTGGCTCTATCCTTGCAAAGAAAACTCAGAACATCCACCAGTGCCACCCTGAGGCCCAGTCCTCCTTTAGGGCCACTGAGGAGCAAAGCCATGTACTGGCCTCTCCCCCCTCCCCCCCCCCGGTCGCCCCATCTGTGGCCTGATGGCTTCTTCTCCCCTTCTTTAAAGCCCTCTTCATAAACCCAGGGATGCCCCATCACATCCACCCCAGAGGAGGACGCGCCTTCCAGGAAGAGTCGGGGGCTGCCTCGGCAAGGCTTCCCGTGCAGAGGAAAGGGCGGTTAGACTCCTCTGGGGAGGGGGGGAAGGGGGGATTTCCCATATCCTCCCGGGGTCCCACCTCCACTCCGGACCTGATCAGAGTATCAGCGTCTTCTGCTGCTGTACATGTTGTAGGCAATTTATTTATGAAATGCAAGGGGAGGAAATTAAGCTCCCAACCAGTGGAACCACCTGCCTCCAGAAGCAGTGAATGTTTCACCACTGGAAGCTTTTAAGGAGAGACTGGACAGCCATTTGTCTGAAATAGTATAAGGTTTCCTGCCTGAGCAGGGGGTTGGACTCGATGACCTCCAAGGTCCCTTCCAACTTTTTTTATTATTGTTGTTGTTGTTGTTGTTATGATGATGATGATGTCCTTGGGTCACAAATGACTTTAAGAACTGCTGGATGACACGGTCCAGTCAACTGACACCCCCCCCCCCCCAGAGGCTTTGGCTGCTTTGCCTGCAAGTGAGCTTCTGATACCAGGTGGGGCACAAAGGGCCGCACCCTTCCGCTCTCCTGCTTTGGAGTCTCTCTCTCTCTCTCTCTCTCTCCTCCGAAGCTCCCTACACCCTCCCCTCTCCCCGCCCCCCCCCCCAGTCCTTGGCTTCCCTAGGCCGCAAGCCTGACTCCGGCCCACTGCCCAGACATCCAGAGGGCCTTGGGGCACTCAGCCGCAGCCCCCTGCTGACCGCTTCCGCACCTGGTAAAGAGGGCCTTTTCGCTCTTAGCCTCCACAGTCAGCGGGACGGTTTCCTGGCCTGAGCCTGTGCTGATGGTTTCTGTGGCCACACTGGCCGTCTCCTCCTCTTCCTCGCTGTCTGAGCCGCCAGAGGAGCTGCTGTCTGAGGCCACCAAGGGGGCCTTCCGTGCCACACAGACGTTCCAGGCGCAGGGGGAGGCGGCACTTGCTGTACAAGGGGAAGCATGCAAGGCCCCGTCACGCGGGGCTCTCCCCTGCGGCGGGCCAGCGCACCACGCCACCCGTGCCCAGGGCCAGCTCTTAAAACGAGGGAGGCCCCTTTGCCAGCAGGCAAAACCTCCTGAGAGACTGGAGCCCCTGAGCATCCCAGGCACGGCAGGGCCAGAGCCAGCTGGGTGGGGCCGGGGCAAGCAGTCGCTTGTTCCAGAGCCCAGAGAGGGGGAACCCTGGCTGGAAGCCTCCCCTCCGAGGCCTTTGGCTGCCTTCTTTGCAAGACATTTTCCTCCCGCTCCTTCAGCAGCCTTCCTTCCGAGGGGGAAGCTGGTCTAGGTTTCTGCTGCACCTTGCTCAGATCTACGCCCGTGTTTCAAAGCGGAGCTGAGACTCTTCAGCTGCCCGCTGGTGGGGGCAAAGGGCTACCGTAGCTCGGGGGGGTCCTTGTCTCTTGCAACAGGCAGCAGGACTGGGGGGGGGGGAAGGCGGGCAGGCAGGCAAAGCTGGCGGTGGGGATCCTAGGCATTAGGAAGGGGGGGGGTCTTCCCAGCAGAACTCCTCCTAGGGCACTTTAGGCTGTCCCAGAGCATCTCGCGTGGCACAAGGCACACCTGACTCCCCCACCCCCACAGGCTGCAGAATTCCCCCACCCAAAAGGTGGGTAGAAAATCAGGGGACCGCGGCCACTTACAGTTCTCCTCCTGGCTCTTCCCGGGGCTTCCCTGGGGATCGTGGCTGTCGTTGTCCACAGGGGAGCTGCACCTGGGAGCCGCTTCGGAGCTGCAAGGGAAAAGCCGGCCTCTGGGCTGGAGAGCTGCAGGCCCTGGGCTGGAACCCTGCAGCATCCCGGGTCAGGCAGGCGCTCTGGGCAGCCCTGAGAAACAAAATGCCTCCCCCCTCCCCCCCCTCAGTTTTTTGCCCCAGGAGAGAGAGAAAATCTCGGCCTGCGCTGCTCACAGGGCAGCCATTCGAAGGGAAGAGCCGAGACGGCTGCCCAGGCCCTCGGCTGGGGGTCTCCGTCAGGAAGCCCCCTGCAAGAGCCATGGCGCTCTGCTTGCTTCCACCCCTTCACCCCTGCTGCCCTCACCCGCGGAGAGCAAGACAGGCTGGGCCACGCTTCCTCCCTTGGCCGAAACAGCTGAAACGCAGCCCCCAAGACTGTGCTTGGTCCGCTCTGAACTCGGGGAAGTACCCGGAGGGAGGGGGCAGAAAGCCAGGGGGGGGGCTCAGGAGGGGCTGGGAATGGCTGGGAAAGAGGAGGCCCTTCCTGATGGGGGCACCTGAATCCACAGCTGCCCCAGTGGCCTGGGGGCCCTTGTAATCCCTTGGCCCCTTCCACCAGGAGAGCGATCCAAAGCTTTGTCCTGAGGTGACCCAGAGGAAGCCAGGATCCACCTTCTAGCTGCTTCCCACGAGACAGATCCCTGCCAGGATTGGCCCCGAAGGGGCCATTTCTTAATGAACACCCAGAGCCGCCCGGCATGTCGGAATGTGACACCCTCTGTCCAAACTGGCAGAGGGACGGAGGGGCTCCTCCACGCCCAAGTGCCTACGTTCCCCCTCCTCAGTTTCAGAGCACCCCCAAATTCCTTTCCGCCACCGGGAATGAACCTCTGCACCCGGCGGTCCCTCCTGGCCTGAGCCTTCTGGGCCTGCCAAGCGGCTGTGGCTGGGCGTCCTCCGGTCCGCTTACCAGCAGAAGGGCTGGAAGTCCGGGAACTTGGCCCAGCCTCGCTCTTCGGCAGCCTTCGTGCCGGGCGTTACGGAATCCCACACGCTGGACCCGATGTCTGTGGCCACCCAGGAGGCCGGAGGCTTGGACTTCACGGGCTCAGCTGCCGTCCTCCACCCAGACCCTGCAAGACACAAGGGCCGCAGTGCTGTCCGGCAGGGGCTGCAGCGGTCAGCGACTCTGTCGGGAAGCCCAGGAGAGCTCAGTTGGCAGAAAGGGCCCCCCCACCCCACCCCCCGCAGCTGCAGGACCAAAGCGGCCTTCGGAGGGGAGGCCGGGGTTCTGCCCCTCGGTGCTGCAAGGAATACAGGGGGGGGGCTGGAAGGAGGGTTCACGGGGCTGCCCTCACGGCTCTCCTGGAGCCAATCTGGGAATGTGGGAGGTCAGCCAGCGTCCCTTCCAAATCTGTTGCCTCTCCCTTCGCTGTTCTGCACGGCCTTTTTAGCCGCTTAGTTCCCGTGCTCTCTGGGGCTGGCTGGAGCCAGGATGTGACCCTCTGCCAAGGCCAAGGGCCTCCTTCCCTCTTGCCTCAGGGGAAGACGCAGCCACGCCTGGGCGGCTCTGAACAAGGGCCGGGCAAAGATCATGAGTTCAATGGGGGAAGCCAGAGGGGCATAAGTAGTCAGCTGCCTCTGTGATAACGAAGGCCTTGAAAGCCATTCACACTCCCGCACCAGCCGAAGGGCCTTCCTCCCAAGGGGCCTGGCCGAGTGCCCACGGGGATCCCCTACCCTCCAGGTCGTGCTGGTCCCAAAGGTGCTTTTCCAAAAGGCAACCGGGGCTTCCTTCCTTGAAGACGTTTTGCTTCTCATCCAAGAAGCTTCTTCAGTTCTTCTTGGATGCAAAGCGAAACTTTTTCAAGGAAAAAACCGAGAAAGTCCAGTTGCCTTTTGGAAAAGCACCTTTGGGACCTTGAAAACTAGATGCTGGTTCTGATAGCTCTTCCACTGCATCAGTGTCAAATACGAGGGGCGTGCCTAAGTTTTGGTTTCACTCTTTCTTAGAAAGCGTCTCGCAATTAAGCCCAAATCCAGGCTTCGAGCTGGCAGAAATGGATTTTCGGTTTTGTGAAGCCTGTAAAGGAAGATGGAAAACCCCAACATTTCAGGGGCACTAATGCGGGTGGGGTGGGGGGCTAGGGGTCAGCTGTGGCCCACAGAGAGATCTCCCGCTGGCTTGTGAAAAAACAGCTTCCAGGGTGGATGGGCAGGTAAGCGCAGGCAAACCTTGCGGGGGCCACGGCTACTGTCCGGGACTCCAAGAGGCAGGCCTCTCCCTCGAGGGACTCCTGGGGCGGCCCTGGGCGCTCAAATCTCGCCCACGTTGGTCCCCACACTGGTTTCAACTGGTCTCCCATCCAGGTACAATAAACATACCACGCTTGGCAAATTCAGGGGAACTGAATTAAGGCGGTGTGTGTGTGTGTGTGTGTGTCCCCCTTTGCTTGACAGTGGACAGTTCTGGGGCCCCACCCCAAAGACTTTAACCTGGCAGCCCTGAGGAATAAAGAATCTTGTACAGCCACCGTAAGGATCGGTAAAGGAGGTGGCCATTATGAATGTGTAGCAAACACCCCGGAGATCTGGCTGCTGTCCCCCAAATATCGTTACCTTCAGAAGAGGGATCCGCAGCCTGGTTTTCTGCCTTCCATGGGTCCTCGGAACAGACAGCTGTCCCCTTCTCAGCCTCCTCCTCCTCCTCCTCCTCCCCAGAGTCCATGCAGCCGTCATGTTCCCCGTTTTCTAGGCTACCTTTGCCTGGACCTGCCACAGAATGAAGTCCTCCAAAGCTAAAGTGACCCGGAAACAAAAAGACAATAAGGAGCTGCACAGACAAGCTCTGTTTACATCCGGGTCTTCAACCAGCAGACCCGCCAGGGCAACTATGGGGTGAGCATGGTGAACCTCTGGTCTCCCTCCTCCCAGTTCGGAAGCTGCAGAGACTGGCCGGAGGATGGCAGCACCTGCAGAGCTCCAAAGCTGGAAGGCGGGCAGCTGAGCCACAGCCCAGGAAGCTTTCTTCTGCTGAGTTCAACTCTGCCTCCTCATTCTGCCCCTTTAAAATCCCTTCCGGCCTGGCCCCAAATGGCAGACACGGGCACGGACTCCTCTGCATTGGGGCAAGGCAGCCTCCCTTCCCCGCCTGAGCTAAGGGACTCTGCGCGGTTTAAAACAACATCAAATGTCCCTCATCTTCTTAGGATCTCATTCAACTTCTCCCAGTCAGAACCTCCTCGGTCTTCTCTTTCCCCTCAACCAGCTTATTTTTCTTCAAAAAAACTGCAGTTTTCATCCATTCCCTTTACAGGAGTGGCCAAAATTGTGGAAACCTTTTGGGAAAAGTGTACAGTAGAAATGCCACCTTTGGTTATGTTTCCACCCATTTTTCTTCTAATTTCTTTATAACTGTAACCTTGTTCACTTAATAGTGCTTTTTTACATCGCTTTCTGGGCGACCCGTCAACTCTTTGCACCATTGCTTTAATTTTATTACATTCTGCAAGCTCACGAAAAAACCCAAACAACTTGATAGCCATCACATAACACACTGATCAATGTCCTCCTCTCAGCTTCACTACGTGACATCAATCACTGAATCCTACTGTGATCTGATTGGCTCATTGCCAAAACAAGATGACACCTGACTGGCTCTCTAGACACTCATGCTCACTGGCTACAATCAGGTGAAGGAAAGCTACCTGAGATCAACCTAAGCAAGTTGAGCTTCCTTTTTCTAGTTATTTGGCTATAACTTTTCATAGAATACAGTACAGATAATTGAACAAACTTTGTTGCATTACATTCTTGATTAAATTATCTTTCCATTGATATATAATTTAATGGTACTCCTCCCAAAAAAAATGGCGTTATTAGCCATCAAACCTCAAAAATATACTTTTCCCAAAAGGTTTCCGCAATTTTGGCCACTACTGTATATGACCAAACCATCTCACAATATTTATTTTATTTCTACTTTAAAAACACTCATCGGTCAGGCAGGGGAGGGATGCTGCAGACTGTCAGGTGAAGCATTCTGACCGCCGGATCCAGAAAGGGGGACCCTCCCTTCCCTGTGGAATATCCGCCCCGCCCCAACCCCTCCCCTGCTCTCCCAGCCCCCCAGAAGGGTTGGAAGACCCGGCTCTCTCGTGTGGGGCTCATTGGTCCCTTCGAGGCCCTTTTCCCCCACTTTTTTTTTAACCTTTAATCATTCTATCCTTGTTACAACTGCCTTTTACTGAAATGTAATCTCTTTACATGTTCTTTATCTTTTTGATCGTAGGCCACCCAGCGTGGCTGCAGTGAGATGGGCAGTCTCTGCATTCGCTGAACAAACGAAGGGACGCACCCCAGACCCAACTGCAGACTATCTACATACATATTCTTCCAGCGGATGAGGGGCAATCTCCACTTTCCATCTTACCGTGACCTGGATTTGGCCTGGGCTGCATAGTTTATGTCATTCTCCTCCCAGATATCCTCCTCCTCTTCCTCTTCCTCCTCCTCGCTGTCGTCAAATTGCTGAATGCGTTCGCTGCAGCAGGTTTCGAAGAGGGAGGCATTGGCCTAGAGCAACAGACGAAGACCAGCTCAGACGAGGGGATCTTTCCTTCCTCGACATACCACGGCAACTGGGACCGGGATTGGCCTGGAATCACAGGGAGCAGGTGCTGGAGGCCTTGCACAGGAAGGCGCCCAAGCGACCTCTTGTCCCATCGTTCCCCGCAGAGAGACATCTAAAGCCTCCGTGGAGGAAGAGGAGGGACAAACCCGACCGATCCTCAAGTCAGGGGGCTATCAGGGCCCACCTCGGGGCAGGGTGAGCAGCGAAAACCTCGGCGTTTCCCTGCCCCCCCCCCCGCTATGGTGCCCCCCGCTGCCTGGCGGCCCTGCTTAAGATCGCCTGTTCCCTTTCGGACAAGGGAGACTCTATGCGAAGTTTTGTCTTCAGGGCTGCACCGAGGAATTTTCAAAATCGCTCGGATCCGTTCCCAACTAGGGACTAAGAGTGATGCTGCTCCACTGGAGATGCCGGAAGAATATTTTTATACCCAGGAAGAGTCTGATCTTGTTGGACTCAAGGAAGCGGGCAGGGTCCTTGGGACTGTAAACGGGACCGCCTGCAATTTACAGACGCAGCGCACAAACTGGGGAGGGGCTGCCTCCTGGACCTAAGACCCCTGCTCAAAGAGGAGAGGGCAGTGGTGCCTAGGAGGGCCTTTCCACAACTTCACCTTGTGTGCCAGTTCTGCCTTTCCCCCAGCCGCTCCTATGCTGGTCATCTCTCCCCGGATGGTTTGGCGTGAGGAGGTCTACAAGGGGTCACCCCTGGAGAGCACCCAGAAGCTGCAACTGCTGCAGAATGGGATAGCCCCAGCAGCCTTTGGTGTCCCCAGGGATATAAAGACCTCTGCCATACAAGCTGCACTGGCTGCCGGTTTCCTTTCGGGTCCAATTCCTTAACCAAGGTGCCACCGTTAAGGCCCTTCGTGGCAGGGGGCCAGGTAACCTGAGGGAGCCACGTCAACCCAATTACACAATCCTGTCCCACCTGGTCAGGTATGTTGCGGATGCTGTTGTTGAAAGAGTTTCAACTGGCAGGGTCCAGGAAGAAAGCCTTCTCTGCTCTTGCCCCCGCCCTGTGAAACCCCACCCCCCGACCCCTTTGCCCCTCCTCTGGCCCTTCAGAAGAGCTTGAAGACTCCGCTGACTCGCCATGGGGCTCGGAGGGGAAGGAGCAAGCAACCTTGGGGATGGTTGGTGTCATGAGAAGGTTCTAGCTTTTAAACTCTTTAATTCTTTCAGGTTTTAACATCATAACTCTTTCTTTTTAAATTGTGGTTTTTTTAAAATTTGTTCTTATTGATGCTTTTATGTTATCTTTTTTCTATGGTAAACCATCCAGAGCCACTTAGGGGAGATGGGTGATGTTGAGATGTGATCCATAAATTCTGATCACTGAGCAGTGTGAGTTGCCACTGTTAACCAAATCCCACAGCTATCAAGCGAGGCATTGTTATCGCCAGTGGGGAAGCTGGCAGGAAGTCGCATTTCCCAGGCAGGTAGGTAGCTGGAAGCCGCGGGGAAGCTTGCAAAGAGCGATCACGCGATACTCAGTCGCCAGGTGCGAATGGGCGCGCTCACATGACCGCGAGGGTGCTGGGGGGGGGGGAAGGACCCGGAACTCACCCTGAAGCCATGCGTTCAGTGCTATCGTTAACGGTCGGAATGGTTACCAACCAAACACTGAGAACCCCCCGTATCCCCCTTTCAGAATCAGTTTGAAGAGGCCAGGCGTGCCGAGAGCAGCCCAGCAGAAATTCTACGTGAGTTTAGCTCTCGCTCGCTGAAGGCTCAACACAGGAGGAGAGAGCAGCGTCCCCTGTTTAACAGGGGGATCTTTTGCTGTGCGCGACCCAGAGTCGCCTTCAGGGGCTGGGGCTGTTTCGTCCATTCATGAACCACCTTGAGCAAGCGGGTTCAGACCAGGACCCACATATGCTGGGCGGGGGGGATCCCCAGAGGAAAAGAAGCATATTCAGCCCCTCAGAAGCACAAAGGAGGGCCGCCAACACGGAGCACCCCAAGGCAAGCATGCCTGAGGCCTTTCTGCATGGCCCCCGTGCCTCTGCGGCTGCCGCTGCTTCCCAGCACCTTCCCTGGAGTCGGGGGGGGGGATTTCAAAGGGGCCAGGGCTGCCACACCCTCCCGCCTCTGGGGCAGCATTTGCACCCCCCGAGTTGCTAGCGTGTGGGACTACTTACACCATCATCATCTACGTCGATGCTGAAGTTAATCTCTGCGATCCTGTCGAAGGGGGCGCTGGAACAGATGGGGGGGAAAAGGCCATGAGGGACGGCTTTCAGAAACCTGTGAGGAGGAAGGAAGCCCCACAGGGAAGGTGGGAGAGGCCACAGTTCCACTTCTTCCGAAGCGCAAGAAAACCCATCGCTTTGCACCTATCCAGCCTCCACGTAAGTAGAGTGTCCCATCACGCACGCAGCTTCCTCCGAAGAGGCTTCCCTGGCGATTGGCTTCAACACTCACCAGGGAGCAGCTTTGGCCATGCGGACGCCCAGCCCTCTCTCCAAGGGACGGCCACGCCTGCTTATCCTCCCGAGAGCTCCGGTCCCGGTTTCTGAGAGAGTCCGATGACCCGCCGGTCTCTCCCCTTTCCTGCCACCCCGAGGAAAGGCAGGCAGGCAGGCAGGGGCCGAAGGGAGCCCCCCCTGATCGGATCCAGGGAGCTGAGCAGAGGACCTTGGCCAAAGCGGGGGGGAGGGGGGAGTATGAGACTCACTTGATGTGGTCATCCTGATCGGAAAACTCTTCGTCATTAAAACCGAACTGATCCATGAAAATGGCTGTCATCTGCTGCACCTGGTACTCCGAGAAGGCCTGAGGGAGGGAGGGAGGAGGAGGAAGGGGGAGAAGGAAAGGGCAGGGAAATGGGGGAGGGGGAAGAAGGAGGAAGGAGGAGGAAGGAGAAGAGGTTGATGATAATGGTGGAGTAACTAACTTGCAGTTCTGAGCAGCCCTCCATGAAATCACAGAGACAGGCGATGTGTCTGGTCAGAACACATTCGGGGATAGAGACCTGGAAGAATCCAAACCCCCACACGCCCAGGTACTATGCGCAGCTGGGCATCCTGAGCACTCCCAGAAACAACACACACACACACACACACCGCTCTCAAGGCTGGCACAGCAGAGGTCTGGGCCTTTCAACAGCGCTACCACACAGAGGCCAGAGGTGGATAGTGAAGGCAGGATACAAATAACACGTAAATAAGTAAATAAAATTACAGTAGTGGGATATCCAGAGGATCCGCTCCACTCAGGAGGGGAGACCCGTCATACTGTCTAATTTACCCGTCATACCCCCGGGTAAACGGAAGACTAGAGGCGGGAGTTGCCTAACTGAAGCAACTGGAGGCCAGGCCCTCTCCCCACCTGCTTTTTGAGGCAGACGCGCCCTTCCTCAAAGAGATCTCAATCCATACCCCGTGGGCCAGGCCTGCAGCCGGCAGAGCCCTCCCTGCAAGGTATCCCATCTGCTCCCCCACCCCGCCACCTGGGCTCAGCCCCAGGGGCAGCCCTCGGGGGCCCCTGCAAATGTGAGAACTCACTGGCACAATTATCTCCCTTGTTCTTCTTCAAGGGGCTGCAAGGGACCCTGAATGTGCAGTGAAAACTGCAATGCTGTTTCAGAGACTTTGGTCACAATTAAAGATTACGATGCAGGTGCCGCCTCTGCAGGTGTGCGGAGGTTGCGCCCAGGGCTTTGGTGGATCAGAAAGGCCCCCCCCTACCCCCCCGTCCTTTACCTTTCACATGAACGGACTCACCAAGGCTTCCCAGGAGCCACCGGAGACCCCCCCCCACCCACCCAGAATAGCGCCCTCCTGGCCCTGCTGGCCCTTCACTAGGGCCGCCCTGGAGTGGCTGGAGAAGCTAGTCAGCCAAGAGGGGCCAACTCAGCCTGCCTTCCCAGAGAGAGCTACCTGCTGGAGAGAGACTTCGCTGGGGAAGGCGGCCTCGGTCTCCTCGTCTTCGCTGGAGGAGTGCAGGTGCTGGGCCGTCACCTGCACAGAGGGGAAACCACAGAGGACGGGCTCCAGCGGCCGGGAGGGAAACGCTGGCAACCCCTGCGGGCTGCCCCTTCCTTCTCTCGCTATCTCTTGCGGCAGCTTCCGTTACATTTCCTCGGCACCACCAGCCCCCACCGCCCCCCTCCCGGTCCGAAGTAAGAGAACGCCAGACCGTCTCACCAAATCCACGGTGTTCCTTCGGTTGGCTTCCACCAGAGTGTCCTCCACGAAGCTCTCCCAGCGTCCTTTGCAATCCTCAGGAAGACCTGCAAGGAAGCAGCGGCCGCGGGGCTCAGAGGGCCACACGCGAGAGACAAGGCCCCCCCCCCAGCCCGGAGGGAGCCAGAGCCTCAGGCGGGCCGGAATCAGAGTGCCTGCGTGGGTGCGGTGTGGCCTGGCGGCATCTGCTCTCAGGAAAGCAGCATGGGGGGGGCAGCCTGCAGAGCCCCTGCAAAGGCGGGTCTAAGCTGCTTACTGGGGACAAGAGAGAAGCCAGCTGCCCCCCAAACCGGTCAGCTTTCCAGTGCGCACAGACCCCAACGCCTTACAGCCCTCTGGCCAACCCGAGTTTAAACCCCAGGATTTTGCCTCTTGCCTCCTCTCTGATTTAACCGGGACTGCAGCTCGGAGGGACCGAGAGCTCCGAAGAGGCAGGTGGGGCCTCCTGCCCCTTCTTCTCCCTTGGGCCCGGCAGCTTTGGCCCCGGCTGCCCCAGACGGAGGGAGGGCAGGGATCATCTCCTACCTCTGATGAGCTCCCCGATCTGGCTCTGCCCGGGGCTTTTCTCCATCGTTTGCACAACGGCGTTGGCGATTCGGGTCAGGTGGCCCATGTTGCCACGCCTCATCCCACCTTCTGCCCTGAAAGGGACCAAAGCGAGGAGCCACAGCTGAAAAACGGAAGCCCAAGCAGCGTTCATCCGGGCGGGCACTGGCTCGGCTCGGGTCTGCTGGGCAGGGGGCGCAGGGCGGGTCACGCCAGGACGCGGAAGGGCTGCCACTCAGCTGCCCCTCAACCTCTGTCAAGGGGGTAGGGGGGGCGAGGGCCTCTCTGGAGGAGAGCTGCGGCTGTGGGCCAAAGGGGCCGGGCGCTCTGACTCGGGCAAGCGGCCTCCGTCCTTCCGTTGCTCCCCAAACAAAAGAGCCGCCCCGAAATCAACAGCGAAGCAGAGCAAGGGAAAGGTGGCAGGCGGGGGAGGGGGGAGTGTCACGAGGGGACCAAGCAGGTCATCCTGGCCGTCTTCTGGGCTGAACGCCTGCCCGTCTTTCTGCACCCAAGTGAGCCGAGCCGAACCCGGGCAGAGACAGGCCCCGGGGCTCCCTGGGAGTCTGGCCAGGAGCCAGGCGGCCTCAGAGCCTTACTGGATCTTGTCGTTGGTCTCCCAGGCCCCGAGGATCCTTTGCACCAAGCAGCACTTTTGAAAGAGCTGGAAGAGGAAGACAGGAGAAGCGTCTCAGGGACCAGGAGCGGAAGCCTCTTTCTAGCACGAGACGGGGAGGGGTGGGGGGGGGAGCAGGTGGGGGCGGAGCAGCCAAATCCCAGGGGGAGACTGAAGCCAGTTTCAGTGGGGGGGGGGACACTTGCACAAGGCTAATTCACACTGAAAAATGGCAAAACCCAATCACCTAAAGGGCTGCCTTTTGTTAGAAAATGCAGCTTGCAATTAAAAAAAAAACCCCTAAGACCCAAGGAGGCAATGTTAATTTGGGGCTGGCAGAGAGTTAATGGGGCATTTGCTTAAACAGCCCACAGGGACTGATGCCAGTTTTGCCCCCGCTCTGCTTCAGGGTTAACCTTCCAATGGCACCCCCTGGGGAAGCTGCCTGGCATCTGCCAAAACGCGACTCTGGGGGGCCCCCCTCCCCTCCCCTTTCCTAACTAATCAGAAGGGCCCGTGGCTCCTCCTCTCGACAAAGGGCAGAGAAACCAGCACTCTCTCAGGGGTCTTGGCACCTCCCAGGAGTGCAGGTTTCAAGCCCCGGAATGCCATGGCCAGGGTGGCTAATGAGGAGGATTCCCAGATTGGGGAAGCCCCGAGAGGGGGTGACTGGCTAGCTACCCCTATTCTACGTGGAACCATCCACACAGCCGACACAGCCCATATAAATTAAGAGTTTGGGCCACAAGGGACTAAATAACGTTCTTGCCATAAAACGATCACCTTCTCTTTTAACCATTCTGACCAGAGCCCTTCCTCTCCCTGGAAAAGCACAGTTCAGGTTGGTCCCTCGTCCTGCCAAGGCAGAGAAGGAGCCCCGGGCGTTGCCCTCCTTGGCCTCGCTCCGACTGCCGCCTTCGCAGCCGCCACCCCCCTCTTGGCTGGCCCACTTCCAGGGGCAGGCAGGGAACCAGAAGGCCCCCCCAGAGGTCCTGCAGGGGGGAGGGGGGGAAGGGAGGCTCCGCTAAGGAATACTGGGAACACCACCTCGCTCTTTGCCCGGGACTGCAGGTTGACTTAAGTGCCTAAATGGGGCCCTTCTTGATGGGGCTTCCAGGGCTGCGGCCCAGCCCTCCCTTCGGAAGACTCAGGCAGTGTTGGAGGACACTTACGTGAGTCACCATGAAGTTCTCTGGAGCTCCGGCCTTTCCCTCCGCCTCCTCCTGGCTGTTTTCCGTGAGCAGCCTGCTTCCGGGCACCGAGTGCATCAGGATGGCTGTGACACACAGCTCCACTTGGAAATGCAAGAAGTTATTCCAAGTGTATTTGAAAAACAGGTCCTGAAACAAGGCAGAGGAGGAGGGGGAGGAGGCTTCCTTCCTATCCGTCCTAAGCGCAGCCGGACCAGGGGAACAGAGGCACAGAGGACCTCCTTCCCAAGGTTCACCAGGCGCCCCGAGACTCCCCTACGCCGGCTGCCCTGGGAACGGACACACGATCGGTGGCTTATCTGCCATCAAGTCAGTAACACGCCCACAAAGAGGACTTTCTCCGCTAGGGAAATAAAGATCTACCGACGTCTTATCCCTGGAAAGTCCACCTCCTGGGGGCCCTCCCCAATGGCCAACGCGGCTCCCCACTCACCAGCAGCAGGTCCATGGTGCTGAGCCGGCACAGCTCCCGATTAATGCTGGGCGTGTTGGTGTGAAGAAGGGCAGCGATCAAGCGGGCGCCATGAAGACGGGCATTGCCAAGGGGCTCCTCCAGCACCCCGATGGTCGTCAGGATAGAAGCCACCTGTCACCGTCGAGAGGAGAGCCAGGGTTTCAAGCCGGTTCCCCACGAAGCCCGAGCAGAGAATGTGCGCCTCCTTTCCCCTGCCGAGCGATGGCCCGGGGGGGGGCTGCCCGAAGACCACTGCCCGGGAGGCCGGCCTCATTCCCAAGGGGATCCATCCCACGAGCCCAGCAAGGAGGAGGAGGAGGTCTGGAGAGCAGCCAGCCCTGGAGAAGCCTCTACGAGACACACAGGCAGAGCCCTCTGGGAGAAACTCCCAGCCTGACCAACCTCCCTCTGTGGCTCCCCAGTCGGCTCTGAGCCAAGGAGAGCCCTCAGCCCTGGCACAATCGCACCGAGAGCCGGGAAAATTCCTTTTTTTTTAAAAAAAATAGGCTTTTTATTAAAAAAAGTAAGGAACTGTATAATCCCAAGAGCTAACACTGAAGTCGGGGGGTGGGGGGAGAAAATAATAGAAAAAAAGAAATGCAACGTACAAAAAGGAAAAATTTAGAAAAAGAAAATATTTTAAAAAGTGGCTCCTGATCTTCCTCGCAACAAGTACAGGCAAATCAATAGCCCCCCACCCTCTATAAGGCCCCAGGCACGCACCCCTTCCCATGGTTGCCACGCTCCCCCACCCCACCCATTCCCAGACACAGAAACCGCTGTCAGTTCTCTCCAATTGTCAGCAAAAGGGTTTCCAGGATTTTATAAAAACATTCCATATTTTAACCCTAATAAAACAAGTCAACTTTAAATTCTTTTATGTCTAACAGCCTTATTCTTTAGTTCTTCAAGTGGATGTCGTGGTATTGAATACGATTTTTTCCCCCATCTCACAAAGATTTCTTCAAGGTTTTAAAAAATGTCTTTGGTAAATTCAAAAATAAATTCTAGCCCATCTTTTTTTTTTCAATTTTGATTCATCATTTGCTTTTCCCTTCTGACAGTTGTCTCTCTCTCTCTCTCTCTCTCATAATTCTTTATTCCTTCATTTTCCATATTTCTCTATCAGCCAGGATTTGCATCTCCTCTTCGTTCTCTCTATTCATGAATTCTTCCCTTTTTTTACCTGCCATGTTTTCTTCTTTATAATCTAGGAGGAATGCAGTTGCAGGTGCGGAGATTATTTCTCTCAAGACTTGTTATTTTTCTCCAGTTCTTCAAAATCTTCTGAAAGGTTTCCAGGGTCACGGCCTTCATTTGCCTTTTGGCAGAGAGCCCCCCCCTTCCTCCTCCCCAGCCTCACTCCCCTCTGGAAGTCTTTCTCTACTAGGTTGGCCAAAGTTCACCAAACTTCATCACGCCTTTGTTGTTTTCACCTTTCACCCAGCGGGTCTCTTTCCTGACAGGCGCTGAACCACCTGTCCTGCCACGAAGAGGCTTCACTCACTCAATCCTTCACAAATCTTTGTGAAAGTCCTAATATTCCACATTCGGCTGGTCCCTAAACCGGTTTAAAACGGTCTTATCAGCTTTTTGCCATTCTTTTTATATTATTTAAGTTTTTTAAACTGATAACTTTTCTTCTGTTTTTGGATGAAGTTGTATTTGCCGGGTGTTTTCTTTCTACAAACTTGCCATTTGGAAGATCTCTTCTAGCTGTAAACGGATTGTAGGTCCAGGATTGGTTAGAAAACGAGGTGGTTGAACCCAGGACCCTTGAAGGCCCCAAGGTGGTTGGGTCTCATGGCGCTCTAGACCCGTGGGACGGCGCCGTCCTGCAGAGCGATCTCTCCTCCTCTCCTCGGTCCAGGGCGGGCCCTCCTGCGCCGAGTCAGCCGGGGTGGCCACAGCGCCCTCTCCCCCCCCCCTCTCGTGGAGACATCCAGCGTGGGGGGCCCTTCCCCTCCTGCTCCTCCTCCTCCCCTGCAGACATCTCAGAAACCGGCAGAGCCCCTCAGCCCCGCTGGGGCTGCCACCTGTTCCCCCCATGCAGACCACACCGGCCACCTCCCAGCGCTGGGGCAAGACTCCGCTCACCCTTCTATTCAGTCCCCCCAGGAAATGGTGGGCTCTTGACATCTCACGCTATGCTGGCAGATAACCTCTTTTGGTGGGGAAAAGCCCGAGCCTGGCGGCACCCGGGTGGTAGCCTGAGGGCCAGACTTGCCACCTCACAAGCTCTCTCTTGGGGAGTCGCACAACTATAAACATGGTTTCCTGTTCCGTCTCTCGCAGGCACTTCAGAAACAGGCAAGAAGGCCACCAAGACAAGATGGCTGCAATCTCCCACTGTCTGCAGCTCGCCACGAATCATCGACGAGAGCAACTGAGGCAGCTTCCAGCACGTATCCTGGCCTGAAGCGGCCGTTCTGTCAAGTCTGCCCTTTTCTTCACAATCCTCCCCACAAAAGGAGGCCGGAGAGTGAACAGTCATGACTCAAAAATGGAATTCTGTGGGAATGAAAACCGAGGCCCCCAATCTCCTGAAGGAGGGGACCAGACGAAGAGCGTATCGCGGTATCAAGAAATAACCTGCCAGCATCCTCTCCCTTCAACCGGGGCAGCTGCTCAACCCTCCTTCCCTCAGCCGGGCAGCGACCGTAGCTCAGGTGGGCTACTTCAGGCAGACAGGAGGCACAGAGGTCAAGCGGTTGCGGGAGGAAGGCCTGGCAGCAGCCAGGATGAGCTCTTGGGTTTCCCCCCCTCCCAATCCAGCCCCCAATTGCGGAAGAGGAGCAGGCTCGGATTTCAGCAGATCAGCTGAAAGGAAAGCAGGCCCAGCAGCCTCACCCCCACCCCCCAGCAGGGACACTCAGTCACCCAGCAGCTGGTAAAACGCCTGCCTTCAACCCCCCCCCACACACTTGTTGGACCACTTAGGAACGAGATAAACATTTCTAAATACATGGCAGGCAGAGGTGTTAGTATAAGCATAGCGAAAACACAGCACAGGCTTGATGACAAAATAGAGAATGGGAAATACGCTTGTTTCATTCGTGGATAATAATAAAGGTCTCCCTGAAACCACAAGGGACCAGGGCCACGTGAAAGAAAAAGGAGCCCCTTCGGGGTTCCCCAAGGCCCCCTTTGCCTCTTGCCCAGAGAGGGGAGCCCATCTTTCTTTCCCCCCCCCACCCAGGAGTTCTCCACCTCCTGAGCTCAACCTCCAGACGAGGGGAAGCGCAGGTTGGTAGAGTTGGCACAGGCCCTGCTCCTTCCTCTGCCTCTCTGCTCCTTCTTCCTCCCCCACTTCCTTCCTTCCTTCCTTCCTTCCTTCCTTCCTTCCTTCCTTCCTTCCTTCCTTCCTTCCTTCCTTCCTTCCGGGACCTAGTGCCTGCCCCTTCCCCCCCACCTCCTTTGCCGAGCATGTCTTGGCTGCCCCTGGCCACCCCCTGGATTCCTGTGCGCAGGAATTGGGCCCGAGGAACGGGCAGAGGAGGAGAATCCCCATACCTTGGGGGGATGAAGCAGCAGCTGGTGGAAGTCCTTCAGGCGCAGCTCAATGCCCTGCAGGACGCTGCTACTGACAGGGTGGAACTTTTCAAAGCCCTCGGAGAAAGAGTCCAAAAGTCCTTCCAAGCTGTGGATAGAAAAATAAGCCAACATCAGAAACAAATCGTGTTCAAATCGTGGAGCCACGGCAAGTGCCTTAGAACGGGCCTGATTCAATTTCACAGCCGCCTCCAAGTTTACGTAGTTCAATTTCTCACCCACGGGAAGCAGCATGGCACAAAGTTAATTAAAAAGAAAAATGGTAAAGCAGAAATATGGACATTATCAGAGGTTTTCTCTGCCGTGTTTCCGAGGTGGCTTGCCCTCCCCTTCGTCCCAGGGCTGAGAGGAGGAGGAGGAGGGACCGGCCCCAAATGTGCCCTCGGCTTTCCCCACAGCTGGGCCGGTACCTTAACCTTTACAGGCGGACCAAACTGGCTCTACTTCCAAACCAATGAAAGGCAGCAAGTTATACCTGAAACCAGAATTACCCACCTGCCAGACGCCCAAATCCCTCTGAAAGCCACGCGGCAGGCCCTGATCTGCCCGAAAAGTCCTCCGTTTGCCCCAAAAGGTTGCAGCCTTTTAAGGGAGGCCCATGGCCCATGTTTGTCCACGGGACGCCTCCTTTGCCCCAGCCTGCCGGGTCTCGCCTCCCCGGCCACCCTTTTGCCTGAGCTAAAGACTCGGAGGAACAATGCTGTCAATTACAATACGGTGTCAAACCAGCCACGGTGTCTCCCTGCCATTAAACGAAGAGCTTCTGCAAGGTGAGCACATCAGGCACCCCTTTGGGCGGTGGGGAAAGCCGCAGCCGAGGGCAGCCGATCAGGGCCGGGAGGGCCAAAGACCTGCACCAGAGACTAGGCTGGGCAGGAGGGGCTCCACTGGCCCAGCCCAAAGAGAAAGCCAGGAGAGGGGAGGACTCCTTTCCTGGCCTGCCTGGTAGCCTAAAGCACCTCCTGCACTTCAAGGGTCCCCCCCCCAGGGTATATAATGGCGAGGCAGCCCTGGTTTCAGCCAGAGGGAGCAGCCGCTCTCTCTATGGCCCTGGCCTGAGCAGCACAGGGGGGGGGAGGAACCGGTGGTCATCCAACAGGTAGGGTTCCTCCTAAATACACGCCTCCCTGCCTCCCTTGTGTGTGCAATCTCCCGGGCCATTTCCAGGGTCCCCAAGGGGCTTCTGAGGGGGAGGGTCCCATGAGGATCAGGGTCCCATGAAATGAGTTCAGCTTGAGGCCGCCAAGTGTTCCAGGAAATGAGACGACTGGATTCAGGCAGGGGAGGCTCCCTCTGCAGCCAGGCGGCCACATCCAGCCCGTGGCACCAGCGGAAGGGGTAACGCCCGGACAGCCAAGGCATAAAAGCCAAAATCCTTGCTCTTGGTAGGCTGAGGATTTGCAGATGTTTGCGTGAAAAGCCAGACATCCTGCACTGCGAGGTAATTTTTATCTGGCAGATGCTCTAAACAGTCAAATCTTGCAATGCCTGTAAATACTGCTTGTAAAATTAGCACCACTGGGCGAATCTGCCTTTGCCATAAACGTGCTGCTTTCAGATCAGGCCAGGATCAGGCCTGCACTCAGAGCGGCTTAGCTGTGAGCAGCAAACGGAGTTGCTTCTATGACAGCTCAGGGCTCACGGAGCACAATTCCAAAGGAGGCTGCTTTCTGCTCGGTCCGAAACGTGCATCCTTGCCCGGCCACTGCTGGGCGCGGGGCAAGGCAGGGCAGGGCAGGGCACTGGGCTGGATGAGGCAGCCTGGGCCGATCCTTCAGCAAAGCCCCAGAGAGCGATCCGGCCCATCGCTCGCGGGAAAGACACCCATGGCTTCCGTTCAGGATCTCTTCCCACACGTGTGTCGTCTGGCTCCTGGCTGGGAGAAAGGAGCTGCACGCTTTACCTGCGAATTCTGCAGGGTGAACCGACGGCTGAGTCTGCCCGCCAGGCTAAGCTGAAACCGAGCCAGCGCCGCTATAGGTGGACACGATTCAAGAAATATCAGAACATTCCTGACTAGTCTTTGCCTTGGGGGTGGCTATGCCTAGAGTCACAGCTGGAAGGGACCTCTGAGGTCTTCTAGTCCAACCCCCTGCCCAAGGCAGGAGCCCTTCAACCACCCTGGACAAGCAGCTGTCCAGTCTACTCTCGAAAGCCTCCAGCGATGGAGCACCCACAACCCCGGGAGGCAAGCAGTTCCACCGGTTAGCCATTCTCACAGTCAGGAAATTCCTCCTCCTGAAGTATTTATAGCAGAGCTACTAGATTCTGTAACCGCTTTGTTGCTCATACCATCCATCTTGTAAATTCGCAGGATTTCCCCCCCCCCCACGTATATGTATGCAGTCAAACTAGACTGCGATTTTTCTCTGTGTCATATGTGTGTGTGTGTGTGTGTGTGTGTATGCATAGTGGTATTTTTTTTTGAGAGCTGAAGGCAAGGAAATTTCATTTTAAAGTATGCTGATTAGTATACACTTAAAGTGACAAGGAAGATTCTATCCTATTCTGGTTTTATTCTTATTCCAATACTAATTCTTATTCTCCAAGCCTTGGCCCACACCACAGGACTTCCCCTAAACTAAATTCAGCCTAATTCAACCGCTGTGCCCACACAGGACACAAGCAAGGAGCCACGTCACGGCTTCACAGGGGGGCAGGCGCCCGGGAAGGAAGAGGTCCTCGGAGAACCGCCCAGTCGGGCCTGAAGGAGCAGAGCGGGGCCTTGCAGAGCAGTTCCGCTTACCCAGCTCTCCTTGGCTCAAGCAACGTCAGCAAAACCTGGGTCCCGTTCACAATGCAGTTCTCCATCAGCGCCTCGTCAAACATGTTCCTCAAGAGCTGCTCCACGCACTCCTGCCTGAGACACCAAACACAAGTCAGCACCACAGGGACTCCCCGCTTAGCCAGAGTAACTGGGACCGGCTACTCTAGCTGAGGGACACAGTTGTCAAGCGTGGACCTCACATGGCCCTGGCAGCGGCGGCAATCCCCAAGAGATCGCACAGTTACCCCCTGCAACCCCTGGCTGGCTTTCCCATCAGCTGCACATATTGGGACCCAACAGTGAAGATTGACAATTGTGAGCACATGGGATGCTGCAATGCCACAACTATGAGGAACAGGTATACATGTATGTACTCCAGGTGGTCTTCAACTCAGGACCACAGCTGGGCCCAGAACTCCCACGGCTAAATGAGGGGATCGTAAAGCGCCACACCGGCACATCACTCAGCGACTGCATCCCTGGCATCCCAGCTGCCATCATTAAGCGGAAATGGCAGTCGTTAAGTGAAGGGGGTCCCAAGTAAGGAGCATGGAGGGTGCTGAAGAGGCTGGCGGAGGCCGGCACAGGCTGGACACACGCTGGGGCCACTGCGATGCTGTGCAAACTGCAGCCACCCCTGGAAGCCTCAGCTGCCCCAGCAGCGCAGCACAAAGCTGCCTGGCCCGGGAGGGCTTGCAACTCTTTCTCTCTCTCTCTCTCTCTCTCTCTCTCATGCACACACGCATCTCACTCGTTGGCAGCAGCGCTGGGGCTGAAGTAGAGGCCCGGGGCTATCAGCAGTCTCAGCTGGCCGCCGCTGCCCCAAGGCCTCCGCCTCAGCCCAGTCTTGCAAGGCCGCCTGCCGTTCTCCAAATAGCAGGCCTGCTCCCCTGAAGCCCGGGTAAGAGCAGAAGGATTGAGAGAATGGAGCAAGAGGCTTGAAGAAATGAGACATGGGGCCTGACGAAGGAGCAGAACTGCACGAGGTGGCAAAGGTCATCGAGGCACAGCAGAGGCCACTGAGTGCGGGCAGCGAGGGCAGATGGGGCTTTGGCCAATAGTGCCAGCATGGCTAGCCACCGCACGGGGCTTGAAGCGGCATTTCTCCACGGCGGATGAAGAGGAGGCTGCTGGGGGTGAGGCCGCAGGAGGCCCTGGCGCTGCTGTCAATGTAGGGCAGCCAGAGGGGCTTGGATCAAGGGGTAGATGGGGGGGGGAGCTGCAGCATCCCTGGGGCTGCTCGTTAAGGGCAGGCGGATCACCAAGTGCCAAACTGCAACCGCACGAATGAGTGCAGGGGTACTGCCAGACTGCAACTCCTGGTACAGGTTCCAAGTCCCTTCGTCTAGCATTGTCACAATTTTGAATAGTCATAAATTGAAGACTTCCTGTAATCCCAGTGCAGGCAGCCTGCTGAACGGATCAGAGTTTATTCCCAGCAGTCTCTCAGTGTGACGTTCCCCCTCCGTCCCCTTGGCTTCCACCCCCAGCTGGCTCTCGGGAGCAGGCAGGCACTTGGGTCAGCTGCCCACACATAATGTGCCAACCACACCCGGTTGCTCCTGCCCTGCCCACCTCTGGCCACGTGGGAGCCATCCCCATTTTGGCCAGGATGAAGCAGTGTTGTTGCTTCACTGACACGCCGCCTTTCTCCCAAGGAGCCCCAAGGCAGTGGAGACACTCCTCTCCCCCTCTCCTCCACCCCGCAACCTTCCCTTGTGGTGGGACCGGCTCACGGGTGGGATTTAAGCCAGGCCCACCCAGCGGCACCAACCCCAAAGTCTCATCCCTCCAGCCAACCTCCCTCATTCTCCACCTCCTCCCGGAAGGCCCGTCTGGGCGGAGCTGCAGCCCCCCCCCCCCAGGCCCTCCTCCCACCCACCCGCCGCTGCTGCCTTCCTAGGTACTTACGACTCCAGGGATGCCAGGAGAGGATCCGGGTCGGCCCCCTCCTGGAGCTGGCTGCTCTGATCTCTGCTCAGCCTGATGACGTCACACAAGGTCTGAGAAGCATTGGACTGTCTCTGCAAAACGGGCCACGAGTCACTCCTGGCTAGAGGGGGGCCCTTGGAAGGCCTGAGCGCCCGCCCAGAGCAGTTCTCCCCCCGCATCCCCTTGGGAATGGGAAGCGGGTGAGGGGGAAAGCAACAGGTGCCCTCCACAGCTGCCACCAACCCCTAAATCCCCCCACCCCTTTGAACAACAGGGAGCTCCTTGGGATTCCTCAACTGGCCCTACGTTCCTGGGTTAGGTTATGCGTTACTTAATTTCGATTGGTTTAAGAACGAGCCACAGCCTCTGGCACGCTTATTCCCTCCATCATAAAATACCATCCAGTTGGCATTCCATTATTTCCTTCGACCTGCCTTTTAAATGTGTCCATTTTGCGTTTCTGTACTTGTTAATCGGCATTTGTTTTATTATTCCACGCAGCCATCCTTTGTTGCGTGAATCAAGCTGAGGTGGGCTTGTTCAGCAAACCGCTGTAAGACCAGGAACGCTTTAATACGATAAAGGAAGCCAGCCCCGACAGCTGAGAAGTGTTTCCCCACGGAAGAACGAACGGGGGCAAAACCAGGAGGGCGACGCTCCCTCTTAAGACCTTGGGGGGGGGGAGGAAAGAGGCCTCCAGGCAGGACAGGAACCGGAACCCTGGCGACAGCCACTCAGAGGGTCTGTTGAGCAGGACCCCCCCCCCCGGCAAGAGGCCTTCCTGTGAAGGAGCCCTCGGGGCCAGAGTGGGCAGGAGGAGGCCCCCAGGGACTCCAGCGGCTCTCCCAGAAACCTCCCTCAGCCAAGGGACACTCACACCTTCCTCCTGGTGAGGGCGGATCAGCTCCACCAGCCTCTCCACCAGCCTTGCGTCGTTCAGCCACTGCAGGAGGAAACAAAGGGAAGAACCAGGTAAGCGCCACGCCTTCCCCAACGCCCCGTCTGAACCGTGGGTGTTTCTCCCACCGCCACTGCTCCAGCCCTCTCCTCTGGTTCAAATCCTGCAGGCTCTGTTCCCAGAAGTTCCAAAGGAAGTCCCAGCTTGGAAGAGGGAGAGGCAGCCCTCCTGAACGCCAGAGGGGGAGATCCCCCTCCCAGCACCCGGCCCCACCAGGCCCAGCCTCTCTGCGTGGGGCAACCTCCCAACTCAGCCCAGGACCTGGCCCGGCCGCAGAGTCCAGGGCCCCCGAAGAGGAGGGGAGGCAGAGCGGGAGCCCCGACCTGCAGAACCTCCTGGCGAAGAGGAGCTGGCTCCACACAGCTGACCAGCCGCAGGAGGAGGTCCATCATGGCGGACGTCTCAAGATGCTTCAGCACCAGATCGACAAACTCGGCTTTCTTCCTCAAGAATGAAACCACCTGGGGAAAACAACAACGGCCAGGCACTATCAAAGCTCTTAATTTTAAGTGCACCTTAGAGCTAGCATCTGCAGAGGACATGCAGAGGGGCCAGTGGCTGGAATCCCCACCAACCAGAATCAACGACCAACCAGGTCGTACCGCCCACCCGGCCCTCTGGACAGACCCACGGATGACGGTATCAAAAGCTACCGAAAGGTCAAAGAGCGCAAGGGTGGAAGCACAATCTCCATCCCGCCCTTGCCAGACATCATCCAAACGCGCAACCGAAGGGGTCTCTTGTTCGATCCAGGTCTTGCTCCAGGTGACCTGGTCCACTCGAGGCCTTCTGAGGGTGCAGCGCTGTCACTCTCAGCCACCTTCCCCAGAAAGGGGAGGTCAGACATTGGGCAGAAGTGGTGGGTCCAGCAATGGCTTCTTGAGGAGGGGGCAAACCAAAGCTTCCTTAACAAGCGAAGGAACAACCCTCTCACTCAAGGAAGCATGAACCGCCGCTAGGGCCCACCTACGTGACACCTCTGGGGGGGCTCTAACCAGCTGAGGGGGGGCAGGACCCAGACAGCAACGGCTGAGCTCGCAGGCCGAAGGATCCCACCTGCCTCCTCAGCTACGGCAGGTTCAGCCTGTTCTCAGAGACGGGCTGGGAAACGATAATCGGCAAAGACTGAGCCGCCTGCAGCCCTTCCCATTCCTCCCCCCCCCCTTCAGAGCTACTGGTTTGAGGGTGTTCTTCGTCTATAATTAAATCAGCAATATAGGGCCGGCTTATACGACCTTTTAGAGAAACCAGGACAGTGGAGAGCGGAGTCCTTTCAGAATCTCCACCCCGCGTGTGAAACCCCAAGAGGCACCCCAGCCTTCAGCCTCCCCCCCCCCTGCCCAGAGCGATCTCTCTATCCGGTCCAGCCCACAGAGGGCAACGGGCAGTGAGGCACAACCAGATGCTCTGGCCACAGAGCGAACCGTGGAGGAACACGGTAAATGTAAGGGCTGTGTAAAATAATTGTCGGGGGAAAAGCAGCCTCTTTACCTGGGTGAGAAGGAAAGTGACTTCCTTCTGCAGCAGAGGAAAAGGCTCTAATTAATCACCTCTTAATTTCAAGTAGGGGGTCCTTAAAGAGAGCAGGGCAGGCGGTATGTGAGGAAATAATGACGCCAAATGCCTCACCTGCTCCGCTTTCCTAGCGATGAGGCTGCCGATGGTCTTGCTGAAGAAACTGGCCAGCAAGGGGTTCAAGGGAGGCTCCTGGTCCAAGAAGCCGTAGAGGACGTTCCACAAGGCCTCGTCCTCTCCCAGCCGGTCGCTGATCTGGGGCACATCCGAGGTCAGCAGCTCGCAGGCCGTGTTCGGGTACCTGCAGGGGCAGAAACAAAGCCGAGGCTGAGGACCGGCAGGGCCTCGTCCGGTCTCCCTAAGAGCGGTCAGGGGGACTGCCAAGGCCTGAAGGGATGGGGCCTTCATAGACACAAGGCCAGGTGTGGGGAGAGTCGGGGGGGGAGGGGGTGCCTCGTAATCCTTCCTGGACAGAACAGATGGGAATACAACCACTTTGGAGGGGGGGGGAGTTCTCTCTGCAGCGCTTTACTCAGGAGGACGGAAAGAGGCAAAACTCCCATTTCTGGGTGTTTTAACGGAGAAGAAAATGCTTAGGTATTTTGAGAATGAGCGGCTGATTCAAGAAAAAGAAATGCAAGTGGAGAAAGAGGCCCAGCCTGGAACCGAGGGCAAAAGGACAACCGGAGCTGCCCTGGCCTCTCAATTCAGCCTTTCCCTCCCCCCCCCATACCATTTCTTCCCAGGCTCTGCTAGCCTCCGCCTGGTATCTGGGCTAACCCGCCTTCCTTTAACTCTCTTGTGTGTCTGAATTCCTGGAGGGACCAGGCGCCTCTTCCGTCGCTGCAGGTCCATTTCGACCAAAGGCCGTTGCGGTTTCTGGAACAGCCTTTCACAATAATGGATGGTAAACGTGGGAAAAGGTGGCCCTTGCCTGGTGGGATGGATGTTTCATTCCCCTGCAACTGCAGAGGGACTTCCTCTGTCTATTGCGGGCAGGGAGCTAGCTCAGGATTCGAGGTTTCAAGAGAGTGGACCTCAGCGAGCAAAGGGGAAAAAATTCCAGGGATGGAAAAGTTCAGGGAGATTGATTTCTTTTTTAAAAAAAATCAGAGAGAGGAGATGCTCACTGAAACAACACCGAAGAGAAAGTCCTCCAATAAACTGAGAAATGAGAAGAACAAATACCGAAAGAAAAGAATATTGGATGCTCTGAGCTTGGTTGCTTTCTGGCAGACGTTTCATTACCAGACTAGGTAGCATCATCATCCGTGCTGGAAGGGAAGGGAGTGCTGGGGGAGGTGAGAGGAGGAGGGGAAGGAATGGGGGAAGGAGGAGGAGGACTCTGGGGTCCTTGGTGATCTCTGAGCCTGGTTGCTTTCTTGCAGATTAGATAACATCACCAGAGCTAAACTGATGCTGTCACCCAGTCTGGTAATGAAATGTCTGCAAGAAAACAACCAGGCTCAGAGAGTGCCAAGGAACTCACAAAAAGAACAAGTTTACAAAATGGAAAGAGGGACACATAATGAAAGCAGACCAAAGGTAGTCCCTGACTTAGGACCATCCCAGGGCCTGCCTCTTTTGGCTGTAAGGGTCGCAGAGCAGTTGCCACGGGACTGGACTCCTTCAGAACCTTCTCCCTCCTCCTCCCCTTCTCAGCTAGGCCATCCAAGCCATCCAAGGGGCTCCCTGCAAACGGGGCCTCCCGCCGCTTTCCCTCTTCCACAGAACGGATAGGTGGAGAAAATATGACGAGTACCAGGCGCTGTTTGCATTCTGAAATCCGCTGCGTCATTTGAATAGACATACAGGCAGATTCCACCTACGGACTCAGTGCAGCCTTGCTTCGTCAATAGCTCAAATCCCTCAGGAATACTCAATCACCAGGAGAGAGGATCTGCGAGAGAAATCGCAGGCGTTCAGCCGGGTTTGCTCTGGGTGGCTGAGGTGGGGTGCCACCCCCGAGGCCTGAGAAAGAAGGCTAGAGCTGCCTCTGGGTCTGGGGAGGGGCTGGGAAACAGCCGGGCACTGATCAATCCGCCCTCTGGGAGATTTCCCAGACACGGGCGAAGAGTTCAGGCCAGAGCCAGGCCATCCCAGCGAGCTTCCCTCCGAGCACAGAAGCCAGGATGCTAGAAGAGTCTCTGAGAATTTCATCCCGTGGCCCACAGGTAGCTCTCGCCGTGACCCAAGGGGTCAAAGGGCAGGCTCTGTCATTAGAAAAAAGCTGCACAAACCAGGTCTACGCGGGAGGCGTACCAGGAGGATCCCTCGGCGGTCCAGAAAGGACCTCAGGCGCAAGACCAGAGTTTTGGCCCACGAACCCCCCAGGCAAAGGCCAGGCTAGACAAGGCAAAGACCACGTTCGGCAAACACTGAAGACAGCATCTCACTGGAAAAGCCCGGTGACAGAAACGTTACCAACTGGAGGTGCTTTGCTGCACCCGGGCAGTTCACCGCCACAGAAAGCACGGTGCGTCCTTCACTGGGCCAGAGGGTTCTGGAGGAGAACCTGAGGCCGTTTGTCAGAAGGGGCAAAGACATGGAGGGCTCTGGAACGGTCGAGGGTCAAAGGCCAGATCGAGGTCCCGCCCAGAGGCTGAGGGGGCGAGGTGAAACGGGCTGTGCGTGCAAGGAAGGCCCTCACGCACCACCCAGCCGAAATGGGGGCTGGGAGACGGTTACGAGAAACGCCTGCTGGAGGCTGTTTCTGCCGGAGGGGGTGAAGCCGGGTGCATTAGGGCCAAGGGTGCACGAAAAAAATGTATTTATGTTTAAATTACCCAATAGGCTACAAGGTGTAAATAGTGCCTGATATTTATTGTATCCCTTAATCTATCAATATTTGGAAATGATCAAATTTCTGCGTGGTGAGATATGTTGGAAAGCCAAACCCATGTCAGCGGGGTGTACTTCCTTTTCCTTGGGACTGTGTGTCATTTCTTACTGTTCAGATTATTCAGGCCCGTCAGGTGCCTTCTGAGCTCTTCAGCAGGACGAGGAGGAGTGGCCTGACAGCGGGACCCCTGCTGGGTCTCCTTGCAGAAGTGACCAGCCACGCCTCTGCCCCCCCCCCACCTGTGACCAGCCTCCCTGGACTGGCCGGAAGGAGGCTACCTACTTGAAGCGAACCTTCTCATCCATGTCCAGGGGAGGCTCGTGGGTGATCAGCTGGACCAGCTCCTCCATGCAGGGCTGCTGGCAGAGGAAGTCCACCAGCTTCCGGTTCTGGGCTTTGCACTCCTGCAGGACGTCATCTTCGTCCATCACTTCGCGCAGAGTCACATCCTCTTTCTCCAGCAGTTTGTCGACATGGGACGTTGTGTTCAGATCAAACTTCCAAAACATGATGGGGGTGCACTCCTACACCTACCTGCCGGGGGGGGGGGGGAAGGAGAGGACACGGCACAATCACTGCTCTGCCAACACCAACACATTCCCTGCATTCCACTTCTTTCTGGCTCTGTTTCTCACAGGAAAAGTACTTTCCAGAAAAGTTGGATAACAGACGGATTTATCCTTGGGAAAACCCCTTCTCTGGCTAATTGGGCAGGAACGCAGAGCGTCCCCGTCTCTGATTACTGAGAACAAACCAGCTGAGGGTTTAAGACAGGAACCCCTAGAAAATCAGGGCTGCTGAGAGGGGCCCCTGGCCAGTAAGGGAAGCCCAATTTCCCAGCTTTCAGGCATCTGCAAATGCTCCACCGCCCTTAAAACCAAGGCCTGATGGTGCTGGGGAAGCAGAATGTGACCCTGCCCCCCCCTGCAGATCACAGACAGTGGTTCCCTTTTCACACAGAGGATGGAGTTTTCAAGCCTGTCACTTGAAATACACATGGAAAATCAGGCTAGGTTTCTTCATTGCTCAGAGGCGTATGCAGCAGTCAAGAGATTCCTTCTTACTCTTTTATTGAATGGTTTTTGTCTGCATGCAAAATAATTTAAGACGGACTTCTCCTACCAATTCAACACATTTTTGAGCGGTTTAGAATAAAAAAGCACTGAAAGATATTCTGGGACAGCGCTCACTACCAAATCTACTAAAGTTTTTGCACTTTGATAACCATGGCACAAAATAAGATGTTGTACAACTAGAAAAGATCACAAATTACAATCAAGTTGACCAGGGAAATAGAGAGGTTTCTCTCAGAGCAGGGGTCCCCAACTCCCAGTCCGTGGACCGGTACTGAGCCGCAGCATGCCAGCAACCAGGCTGCACAAGCAAGCAAAGCCCCATCCGTGGGATGCAGGCAGCAGACAAAATGACGCTGGTCCGTGGAGAAACCTCAGTCCATGGAACGGGTGATCCCTGGTGCCCAAAAGGTTGGGGGCCTCTGTCTTAGAGGAGGCCTAGGGCAATTTGTGCAGTTTATGTAATAAGGCTACGTTCAGGCTAAGAAAGAGACTCTCTCTCTGAGGACGCTCACCAGAGCCTGTTACAGGCTTCCCCAATAAATGGCCTCTGATCCTGCAGACTTTCCAGCTTTTTGAAGCTTTTCTTGAAATGGAGGCAAAAGCTTCAGAGCGCCTGCCTGAACGAGCTCCCTCATAAAGACAGGCTGGAGCGTTCCGTCTCACTCTTCATCTCTCTCTCACCCCCTTTTCTCGGCTTTAAAACACACTAAAGGGCCTCTAGGTGGATCCGCTTCTTAGTCTGAAGGTTAAGGTCGTTTCCTTCTTTTTCCCCATAGTACTCGAAGGCTGGATAACCTACTTAAATTAAATGTAGACTTCTCAACACATTTTAATACAATAAAAATGACCGCACAAATTCTTGGATGAAAGGGCCACCGATGGCTACTCCACTTCACGATGACTGATTGACGGACTGACTGACTGAATTGGGAGACCCGTCCAGCTCCTTGAGATTAAAAACAGTAAAAGCTAAAATGGGAGGGGGATGCATCTCTCAGAAGACAGCTTTCAACTGAAAGGCTCACCGATAATTCTCACCCTGGGGGGAGGGGGAAGCTGGATTTTCAAAGGCTTCTCAAAAACAGCCAGGGTAGGAGCGATGCCTGGGCAGATGCTTCGGTTTCCAAGCGGTCCTCAGGGCAGCCCCACAGAGAGCACCCTGCAACGGTCCACCCACGAGATCAGTAGGGTGGGAGCGACATCCCACCCCAGTCTACGAAAAGGGGAAACTGGTGCAAAAGGTCAGTTTTCCCGCTACACTGATCCCTCCTCTTTCGACAGAAAACCCCAAAGCGGTCCTGAAGGGGAACATTTCCTGGCCTGGAGGATCCAAAGCACTGGAGCCCTTCAGTCTTGCTGGGACTGAACCAAACCATTCTTTCCTGTCCAGACTTTGACCCCATCGCTTGGACAGCCCGAGGCTGGGGGCAGAGGCAGGCCCCTTCTCAAGAGGAGCCGTCTCTGGATCCAGCAGTGCGGACAACTTTAACTAAGTCTCCGAGGGAAGGTGATGGATCATTAAACACTGAACCACCCCAGGAAGGCTTCTGAGCTTGAAGTGACAACGTCGGTTTATTAACTTGCAGGTATGGTAAGAATTTAAATTCTTTTTCTACTTTTCTTTCTTGATCTAAACGAATTTTGATTGCTGTTCTAATGTAAACTATTTATAGTCTTTTTAATCACGATAGGTACAACCTACAACCTAGGCTAAGGCAGCGGGCTAGAAAGCTGGAGGCTGCTTCAGACAGCCATAATCCCTCAGCCCACCTCACAGGGTTATTGTTGTAGGGAAAATAGGTGGAAGATATATTGGATAAGCTTGCCACTTTGAAGTTATTTGTAAAAATAATAAAGACAGGACATAAATAAAACAACATTCTGCGTGCCTTGGCGTATAGCTATGCCAGCCACATGACCATGGAAATGTCTTCGGACAACGTGGTTCCCTCAGCCAAGAAATGGAGATGAGCTCCGCCCTCCAGAGCCAGACGTAACTGGAGAGGGGAAACCTTTATATCCATAAATCTGCTCTTGAGAGAAAAGCAAGAATAATAACTAGGGGATGGCTTCCGGTTCCAGTTTGCGGCATCACTAGTCGCACAGTGAGACTTCTCTCCTCGTCAACTAGGTTTTCCTCCGTCGGTGGACCCTTATACGGGTCCAAAGTCGCCCTGGAGGGTGCAACTTCCGTTGAGGAGGCTGCTGTCCGGCTACGGAGGAGCGGCGGCTCCTCCAGCTGTCCGGACGAATCTCCGAGGGCCGACGGAGAAGAAGATCGGCCAGTAAAATGGCCAATCGCCCTGCCGCTTCAGACCATAAGTCAGACAACATCTAAGCTTTGAGTGCCCCCGTGGTGAATCCGGGTGAGAATTTTTTCTTATTTTTCTCTCTTTTCCGCCTTTTTTCGTTTGTGTACCTGTAAGAGCTTTTGAAATTATTTCCCTGGCTTGGAAAAGCGGCTTCTGCTTTCTTTGGGAAGAAAGGCATTTTACAAATACTGAAAGACTATATTTTACTTTTATTTGAACACTAAAAAGGAAAAAAGAAGGAAAAGGTTTTCTCTCTCCTTTCTTTTTAAGAACCTTATTATTTCTATTTTATATATATATATGTATACTCTAAAAGACAGAAAAAAAGAATTGATTTTTGGAAAAGACTTTCTTAACTCACTGAGGGCATCTAGTGGTGAAAATTTAATATTGCTTTGCTTATAATAAACTTTGCTTATTCTATTGAATTTCAAAACACTAAAGATAAGCTGTACATCTGTGAAGCTGTGGGGGTGGATGTTTTTACATTAAACAAAGCCTCTACAAAAAAGAAAAAGAGGTTTACTTTTAAGGATTAATATTAAAATGGAGAAACCTCAGATACAACTGAACTGTGCACTTATATTGGAAAAGATTTATGAGGTCACTGCAGAAATTTGTGCTACATTTAAAAACTGTACTTTAGAATTAAGATCCAGAGATTCTACTACATTTGCTCAAACTGATGTCCAGGTTACAACTGATCATGGCATAAATCAAAATGTACCAGAAGAGGAATTTACAGAGATAGAAGTGGAATTTATTTCATCTGACAATCCTTTCTTCAGCAACTTAGAGAACCAGAAAGACTAAGACCTCAAAATACAAAGCAACTACATTGCAAGGAGAACAGAAAAAGACGTTTACTGCAGAGAAAGAGATTTATATTTTCTCAAAGGGTTACTACAAGCAACAAGAATCGATCTATTGGTTGAAAGGGAAAAAAGATGTTTACTGCAGAGGAAGGGGACGTACATTTTCCCAAAGATTACTACAAGCATCGAATGGATTTACTGGTTGAAAGGGAAGCGCTTTTATGGAAGCCTATGTGGCATAGAAAGAAACCCAGAATTAGACTGAAAAAGAAATTTAAAAATGTTTAATGGAGTAAAAGGCAATGTTGATTCTATGGATTGTTTTAAGGATAATGATCTAGAGCCAGAACTAAGAAAAATGCAATTATATATATGCGTGTTTAAATTAGTAAGTGCTTAAATTGATTAGGTGACTTTTGTGTATAATAATATGATCCAATAAGGTATGATAATTAATTGGATGGAATTTGAAGTTTGTGTAATGAATTGAAAGGAATTAAGGTTTAACATTATTATTTTTTTCTTTTTTCTTTTCTCTTAATTAAGTCAGTTATAACTATATACATATTGTTTAAATTAGTTAGATGCTTTTTTTGTTGCATGGAATGGTTTGGATAAAAGAACCTTGGCACTATGGATTGTATTAAGGATAAAAATATATAATCATATACATATATATATGTTCTGGAGTTGAAAAAAAATATTCAGTCATGACAATGTAATTTTGAAGTGCTTAAACTGATTAGGTGATTTTTGCCTATAATAATATGATTTGATAAGGCATGATAACTAATTGGATATCTGAAGTTTGAGTAACGAAATGAAAGGAACTAAGGTTTAACATTTTTTTTTAAATTAAGTTAGTTATCACTGGAAGAAGAAATGAATGAGATTGGTGATAAGAAGAGGGCTGAGAGAGATTAAAAACCTTAATATACATGGTAGAGATACTTGAAGTGATAATTTGTTGATGTAAAACAATATTTGATTATGGTAATTTTAAATTGATAAAGTTTTAAAAAAGGTGTAGTAACAGAAATTTAAGCTAGAAATGGAATATATTAAATTTATTATGTTATTTGTGAGAAATAGAGAGATGATAGTGAATGTATTAAGTTGAGCTGTTTATGTATGTTTTTTACCTTGAATTGTTTGTTTACCGAAACACCACGGTGTGTCTAAAGTACTCTTTGTTAAAATTTTAAAAACCAATAAAATATATTTAAAATAATAATAATAATAATAATTAGGGGATTAGGAACCAAACCCTACATAAAGGTTTAAACTTATGAAGGCTAACATGGAGTTAGATAGCTCTCTTGAAATACCTGGAAGGACACAAAACAGGCCAGGCCTTATTTTCTGTTCTTCTAAAGCAGGGGTCTCCAACCTTTCCGGGCTCCAGGACCGGAGGGAAGGAGAGCAGCTTCAAAATTGGTGTGTGCACGCACATACACGTGCGAGTGACACCACACACATTGGTGCAGCACTAGCAGCCCCATTCGCACATGCGCCATGCACTAGTGCATGCGCAAGCAGGCCACACAAACTGCCTGGGCTAGCGGCGCAGGCGCAAACGGGTTGTGGATACCCGCCCTTGTGCTAGTATTCCCATTCGCACCTGCATGCATGCACAAACAGGGCCACAGGTGCTAATATGAGTAGGGGGGAAATGCACACCCACACATGGATGCACCGGCCAGCCGTTTCCGTGGCCCGCTGGCCAAGAGCCCACAGCCTGGGCCTGGGTCGTGGACCAAAGGTTGGGGACCCCTGTTCTAAAGTACAGGACAAGGAATAACGGATTTGGGTCACAAGGATGCAATTTTCCAATCAAACATGTGACAAAAGGTTAAAAGCAGGAATTCCTCAAAAGTGGCAAAGCCCCTCCCATCAGATGTGTAAAGCCGAGGCAAGGCAGCCACCTCTCAGGGTGCTTTTATTTCAATTTCCAGTTAGTTGACCTGGATGCTTAATGGCTTCCCAGAGTTGGGAAAGAAGATGGTTTACAGAGCATCCACCCATTTCTCCTCTGTCAGGGAGACGGCGACCTCTCCAGTGCATCAAGAGAGCCGGACCCTTCACAATCCGAGAGATAAAGGCCTTGCTGGAGCACCGATAAATCTGCCTCAGGAGGACTCTGGAAGATCTGGCTGTTTTGTAGAAGCTTAGGTCACCCTTCCAATGTCTCCTGCTCCCCCTCCCCCCAGTTCCACAGTCATTTCACAGAATCAGGCATACTCTTAATGTTCTATTAAATAATGGAGAGCAGATGTACCCAAGTCTGCAGAGAATGAAACACAATGGGGAATGGTTTGTAAATAAAGTTTATGACTAACGTTATGGGTATAAACGCAGGCAACTGCAGCATAGTCTGCAAACCAGGATTAACAAAACCATGTCTTAATTTGGCATGAGAACGCGGCTATAAAATAATATATTCTCTTGTCTGGTGGCTTAAAAACAGACTGTCTACTGGCAAAGAATGTATGAATCACCAGCAAAGGATTTTGGGCCCTGCACCTATTCATTCTTCGTGCTTGAGTATGGCTGCCCTGCAGGTAGCATCCTCCAGTCTGCCAATCTCCCTGCCTCTCTCCATTGCCAGCTCCCAGCCAATTAGGCAGCTATCAGCCATGGCTTCCCAGTTCAAAAGGTGGTGGGGGGGAGATATTTAACATTTAAATGATCTGTTGTTTCCAGGACTCATCCCTTTAAAATTATACCCAGTCAGAGCTCATTCTGAATGTTGATATCTTCCAAATCATTCATATGTGCACTGGCAAAATGTGACTTGCAAATAATAGTAATAACAACAGACGGAAGGGACCTTGGAGGTCTTCTAGTCCAACCCCTTGCTCAGGCAGGAAACCCTGTACCATTTCAGACAAATGGCTGTCCAGTCCCTTCTTGAAACCTTCCAGGGTTGGAGCATCCACAGCTTCTGGAGGCAGGTTGTTGAATTTCATTCATTCATGCCTGCATGCATTGAGGGGTCCCTGGTGCTCTCTGAGCTTGCTGGTTTTCTTGCAGACGTTTCATTACCCAAACTCAGTAACATCATCAGTTAGTCACTAGTCCTGATGATGTTACCTCGTCTTGTTTGGGTAAATGAAATCTGCAAGAAAACAAGCAAGCTCAGAGGGCACCAGGGACCCCTCATGTCATCCCTGAGCTACAAATATTCTTCTTGACTGACTGACTGATTCACTCACTCACTCACTCACTCACTCTATACGGCCACCCAATGGCCAAGCCACTCTGGAAATAAAACTTAAAATATACATATAGATAAATTATAAATATAAAGCCTACTAAAACAAATTTTTATTATCTCCAAGATTCTTTTTTAATCTGAAAATTGTAAGATGAAATTGATTAACAATGGAAGTCTTGTTTTGTAATGCAGCAATATTTATTTATCAATCAAAGCTTGTGCAACTTCAAATGACTCTGGGTGACTTAGTGTGTAGAAAAACTAGAAAGTCAACAATAAAACCCAGCAGATAACATCCCTTGAAAAGGAATGCCACTAGCAGAGACAAAAGCAAGGCAACAGAGTCGCACAGCCACGCTAACTCAAGGAAGGCTTGGGGAACAGCCATGACTGTCCTGCTCCTTCAAGGGCCAGAAAGCCTCCGAGAGACCTCTGCTCCACAGGGCAGGCCCAATGGCAGAGAAATTACTGGGGGCGGGGGGGGGAGAGAAAAAGACGCATCACGTGACCATGACTTGCAACCCCCCCCCTTTTTTTAGCACCGCTGTACCTTCCAACAACAAAGGTCAGGGGCTATTTGTAGGAGGAGGGGACTGTGGGGTTATTGGGGGGGGCAGAAACAGTATTATGGTTTGCAGCTCTTGCAAAGGAGATCAGAGGACACTTCTTTAACTAGGTGCTGACTAAAAAACTAATAAAGAAACAAAGAGTCCTAAAGTAATGTTTAATTAATGGCATTGTCCAAGCAAACATAACCTGCCTTTTTCAGGCATATCCAGAGATATTTCTTAAAAATTTACAACTGACAAGAGCTATGGGATATAGGTGTTTAAAATATTTTCTATTTCTTTCAATCAGAGGTCCCCAACATTTTGAGCACCAAGGACCGGTTGCGTGGAGAGAGGTTTTTCCGCAGATTGGTAGGGGGCCTGCATCCCGCGGATGGGGCTTTGCTTGTTTATGCGGACCGGTTGCTGGCATGCCATGGACCGGTACTATTCCACGGACCGGGGGTTGGAGACCCCTGCTTTAAATTACACATGGATCAAATGAATGTCTTATGCTTTTTCCCTTTCCTTCTCTTATTATATCCTTTTTCTCATTACTGAGGTAGCTTTGTCCCTCTAGGGCACGGGTATCAAACTTGCTGTGTCACGTGACGCGCCACAACATATCGTAACTTTTGCATTGCCGGAGCTGGGGTGCACGCGGCCTCCGCATGATGCACCCCTGCTTTAGAGACAAAATCAGTTTCTCATTTAGGCTGAAAAAAATCCCAGTGAAGCTTGAGACCCTTTGATGTTTCTGTTTCAAAGCCGCCTCTGGCAAGCCACAAGCAGACCTAACGGAAGTTCTAAATTCTATCCAGCCTAAGAAAACAAAGCAGGCAACGCCACTCCTTTATGGCGGTCTTGGTTACCAGCCCCAGCATTTAAAAAGCCACCGCTCCAGAACTTCACCTAACAACACTCCAGCGTCCCATTTCCACGATGACCAAAAGATATGCCTCCAACCTTGAAAGTGGAACAGGAGCGCATTCAGCCCCCCCCCCCCCACTGCTTCTGAGAGAATTGAGCAGCGAAGCCCTCTGCTTCCTGAAATCCGGAGTCCGCTAGCCAAGAGGCCGGTTCTCATAGGAACCTTCGTGACAACAAATGGCGGGTGACCTCCTGACTGAGTATTCCAGGGGTTCCTTGGCCACCTCCCAGGCACACCTGACCATTCGCTTTCAGAAACAGACAGAGGGGTATGAGGCACACCCCTTCGACTTATCCTGTCAGTCAATCACCAAACCGTTTCACGGAGTCATCCAGATGAGCCTTTTTACCTTTCCTGTAAAACCTCGCTTCAAAAATCAGAACTTTGCGTCAGGCAGGCAGAGAGACATTCGGTATCCGGCTTCTGCAGACAGCCCGACTTCGGAGAAGGCTCGCATTGAACTCAGCGTACCTTTCATCTGCTCCTGAGAAACGGAATGAATGAGTTGGAAATGCCAGAGGGGGTTGGGGGGGCACTTGCCTGCCTCCTGCACGAAGGGCTGAAGAAGGCAAGAAAACGTGACACCCCCCCCCCCGACAAAAGCGGCCCTGCCACTCCACCCACCCACCCACCCCTCGGACAGGCCCCCAGCAGCCGCCCTGGGAGGGCTGCGCGCACCAAGACCCAGGGGGGAGGGGAGGCTCCGGGAAGGGCCAAACACACAAACCCGGGGGAGGGGGCAAAAGCGGGGGGAGGGGCGCCGGGGCTCCCACGGCGCTGCCCTCCCCCTCAAGACGTCGCGCCCAGCGGCGAGATCTCCCCCCGGGGTGGGGGGTGTCCAGCGGAGGGGCTCTCAGGGAGGGAGGGGGCGCGGCTCCCCCAGCCCGAGGCTGACCGCCCCCCGCGCTCCCCAGGGTGGGGGGAGGGGAAGCCGCCTGGCGGGGGGGCAAGAGCAGCGAGCGAGCTCGCCCCCTCCCTCCCTCCCCCCGCCGGACGCGATCGGGCCAGAAAGCCAAGTCGCCGAGGCCGGGCAGGGACAGCGGTGCCCGCGGGGCACGGAGGGCTACGGGACCCCTCCACGACCCCCGGCCTGCCCTCCGAGGACCAGGAGACGCTCCCCGCTGGCCGGCCCGGGAGGCCGAGAGGGAGGGCCGGGCAGACCGCGGCCCTCACCCTCCCTCCCTCCCTCCCTGGCCGCCCCGCTGAGTGACTGACCGGCCGCCTCGCTCGCTCACTCTCCGCCGCCGCTCCGGAAGCAAAATGGCGGCCTGAAAGGGGCGGCGGGGCGCAAGGGCGCACGCGCGGGACGGCCGACCGGCGGGCTACGAGCCCGCTGTGCGCGTGCGCGCTCGGCCGGCGGCGATGGCGAGCCCGGTCGGCCGCGGTTTTCCCCCGCCGGCGCTGGTGCCCCGGGGGCGGCTGTCGGCCTGGCTGGAGTGCGTCTGCGCGGTGACCTTCGACCTGGAGCTGGGACAGGCCCTGGAGGTGGGTGGGGGGAGGGGAGGGGAGGTCCGTCCGGTCCGGCCCGGTGGACTCACGGCCGCTCTGCTTCCCCCGCAGCGCATCTACCCGCCGGAGGGCAGCCTGACCGAGAAGGAGGTACGGGGGGAGGGCGGGGTGGGGAGCGTGCGGGGGAGCTCCCTCGCGCCCCCCTTCTCACGACAGCCCTTCTCCCCCCCGCGCAGAGGACGAGCGTCTGCTACCTGGCCTTCCCGGACTCCTACTCCGGTCAGTGCGGGCGGGGGGCGGGGGCCGAGGGGGGCGGGCTGGAGCGGCCCCCTCGCTGACCCCCCTGCCGCCGCTTTGCGCCCCCCAGGGAGTCTCGGGGACACCCAGTTCAGCTTCCGCTTCCGCCGGTCGGCGGGCCGAAGAGGGGCGGCGGAGGGCGAGCGGCGATGCAGCCGGGAAGCCCCGCCGGGCCTGCAGGTGGGTCGGGGGTCGTCTCGTCCGGGGGGCTCCGCCTGCGCCTCCTGGCCTCCCCCCGTCCCCTGCGGGCTGGAGGTGAGGGGGCTGCCCTGCTTCTCCCCAGCCGGAGCCGGCGCACCTCTTCGGCTATGTCTTCTTCCGGCAAGTCCGGGACCGCTCCGTGCAGAGGGGCTACTTCCAGAAGGTGAGCTGGGGGCGGAAGGGGGCAGGTAGCTTGGCCGGCTGGCCGGCCGTCCCAAAGCGAGCGGGGGGGGAGACTGGCTGGGTGGCTGCCCCAGCCAAGGGGGCCCTACGGGGGGCGTCCCCTCCCCTCGGAAGGAGGGACGGGCTTGGGGGGAGGGTCTGTCGGGGGGGGCTGGGTGGGGGGGTCGTTCAAGGGCTCTGCCTTTCCGCTCCAGTCCCTGGTCCTGGTGACTCGCCTCCCCTACGTGAACCTCTTCCACTCTCTGCTCCACCTGATTGCCCCGGAGTACTTTGAGAAGCTGGACCCGTGTCTGGAGGCGGGTGAGGCAGGGGTGTGGGGGGGGTGGCACTTTGGCCCTCGCTTTGGCCCTCTGGGTCCTGCTGAACTGGGGCCCGGAGGGGTGGCTGGCTGGCTGTGCACGGTGGAGAGTTCTTTTGGAGGGAAATATGGGGGGGTCTCCAGGGAAGCCCAGATCCATCTTTGTTTTGGGGGTCCTGGACCTTACTGGGCCACACCCCCTTAGGACAGGTGAGGGAAGAGCTGCAGCACTGGCGGACCCCTCCTCAGCCGGTCACTCTGCACTTCTTTCAGTGTGCAGCGAGATTGATCAGTGGCCGCCCCCCGTGCCTGGCCAAACACTGAACCTCCCGGTGATGGGGGTCGTTATTCAGGTATGGATGGGGGGGGGTCTTCCTGCCAGGTGCCACCTAGCATGGCCTCATTCTGCCAGGAGAGCAGCTCTCTCCAGGGAGGGAGGCTCACTTGGTGCTCTGCTCTTGGTGGTGCAGGTGAGGATTCCTTCCCGGGGGGACAAGCCTGGCTCCTGCCCTCCTGCCAAGCCGCTGATTCGGGAGGTGAGAGAAAGCTGCCTCTACACCCACTCTGGAGCTCACCTACCCCCTCTCCGTCCAGGCCACGCGAAGAGGCCGGATCAGGCTGTTCCCAGGCGGAGCGTGAAGCCTTGGCTGCTGCTCCTTCCAAATGGGTGCGATGGAGGAGTTTTCATGTTCCTCCAGGCACAAAGTCTTGCCTTTCCCCCCTTGCCTTTCATTCTTTCTTGCTCAGAGTCTCCTGCCAGCTCCCCTCGTCCTCCCCAGTGTTGCTGAATTGGACCTCTTCAGGTGAGTGCTCCACCTGCTTCTTGCAAAAACAGTTCCTGTCCACGGTGGTGGGGAGGAAGCTTGGCCGAGCCCTCAGGCCAGCCTCAGCCACAGAAACATGGAGGTTTCGAGAGGAGCCTGTGAGCACTCCAGAGCGGGGGCTGAACGCTTGTGAGCTTCTCAGAACCTGCCCAAAGGCGTGAGCCGCCTCGTGGCAGCCAGACGGGGCTGGGGGCTGCGTGGTTCAGCGCAGGGCTGGAGGGCAGCCTTTGTCGTGGCTGCATTCGATGCCCAGCTGTGACCTCTTCCCTTTTCTGCTCGGGGAACAGGTGCTTCCAGTCGGTGCTGGTCCACATTCAGCTGCTGTGGGAGCTCGTCCTGCTCGGGGAGCCCCTGGTGGTTGTGGCCCCTTCCCCCGCTGTGTCCTCCGAGGTGGTCCTTGCCCTAGTCAGGTACCAGACTCGCATACGGTCACCTGCAGGGAGCCAATAGGGAATCCCTGGCAAGGGGCCCAGCCCAGGAACTGTTTTCTTCCCCCCCCCCAGCTGCCTTGCGCCCTTGAAGTACTGCTGCGACTTCCGCCCATACTTCACCATTCACGACAGCGAGTTCAAAGAGTACACGACGCGGACGCAGGGCCCGTGAGTGTCCTTCCGCCCAGGGTGCCTGTAGGGGCTTCCACAGAAGAAGCCCCTTCCTCACCCCTCTGCTTGCTCTGCTCAGCCCCAGCGTGCTCCTGGGCGTCACGAACCCCTTCTTTATCAAGATGCTGCAGCACTGGCCCCACATCCTTCGCCTCGGGGAGCTCTGGATGGCCGGTAACACAGGGCTGGGCCCTCTTTGTGTGGCAGTGGGGAGGGGGGGAGGAGTGGGGATGACGAGAGAATCTGCCCCTAGCCCCGGGATGAGAGGCAGCCGAGCCTGAGATCAGAGGCGGGAGGAGGATTGCCGCCTTGCTTCTCTCAGAGGCAGCCCAGTCTTCTCACTGCCAGGCAGGAAACTGCCACATGCGGCATGGAGCCCGGGCAGGGGTCTGGCGCTGGCAGTCCAATCTGGCACTGCCGTGTTTTCATACTTCCATGCAGGGGACTTGCCCAAGCAGGTCAAATTGAAGAAACTTGCCAAGCTGAAAACCTTAGACACCAAGCCAGGTGAGCCTCCTGCCGGCCCTCTTTTTTTCCCCAGTTGCTCCTGCTGCTGGATAGAGAGGCCCTTCTGGGTGAGCCCCCCCCCGTGGGAGCCTCAGCCGAGCAGAGCCTCTTCTGCAACTGGCTTGGTGGGTGGGCCCACCACCCTCCCCTCCTTCCTTCCTTTCCACACCCATCCTCCTTGCCTCTTTTCTGTTTGGCTGCTCTGGCCCCGTCTCAGGACTTTACACCTCATACAGAACATTTTTGCACAAGGACAAGACTCTGATCAAGAGACTCCTAAAGGTGAGCCAGAGTCGAAACTCTGAAACAGGCTGCAGGGCAGAAGCCGGGGCTGGCTCTCTCCGGGGCCTCCTCCCTTTGCAGAGTCGCAGCAGAAAAATAAGGGGAGTGGGGAGGCTGCCTTGCCCTGGCAGATGCAACGGGGGGGGGCACCTGCTCCTCCCTCCTCTAGACTTTGGTCCCCTCAAGGCCAAAGCTGCTTAGGCTCCTGAGACCCCTTCTGGAGCAGCTTAGCAGGAACAAAGGGGGTGGGGGGGTGTCCTGTTAGGCTGATGGCCCTTGGGGGTTTTCAGCAGAGCCTTTCCCGCCCTGGCCTGGCCTGAAGGAGGCAGCCTCGGCCAACCGGGCCTCCCTGTCCTGCGGCATCCTATCCTGCGGCCATTCCCTTCGTTCCCCGCCTCCCTGATGTTCCCTGAACGGATGAGCAAGAGCAGCCATCCTGGGCGCCCCCTTTGCATGGGGGCCTGGCTGTTGCGGAGGGCAAGGCAGGGCCGGTGGATCTTGGCTGACTTCTGCCATGCTCCACAGGGCATCCAGAAGAAGCGCCCGTCTGAGGCCCAGAGTGCCCTGCTGAGACGACAGCTTTTGGAGCTCACCCAGAGCTTCATAATCCCCCTGGTAAGTGGGGTGGGGGAGGAGGGGGTGGCTGTGGCCAGGAGAGGAGCCAAGGCACTAAGGGGGAACAGCTCCCCCACCAGCTCCTGTGAGAAGCCCTCCCCCGCCCGACTCTCACCTGCCACCTCCTCCCTAGGAGCACTACATGGCCAGCCTGATGCCTCTGCAGAGGACCATCACCCCGTGGAAGGTAAGGCCTTGCCTGGCTGCCCTGCCCGCTCTGCTCCCGAGGCAGCTGCAAAGCCCCTCGCCCATCCTGGGGCCGGTCCTGTGCTGGGGTGGGCCTCGCCCTCTGGCTGCCCGGCAGGACCACTTCTCCCTCTCTTTTCCCCCCCCCCAGACTCCCCCTCGGATCCGCCCTTTCCATCAGGAAGACTTCCTGAAGAGCTTGGAACACACCGGGCCCCAGCTCACCTGTGTGCTCAAGGGTGACTGGCTGGGCCTTTACAGGTACCCGCCTGCCAGAGTGGCTGAGCTCCTTCAGACCCTCCCCCTCCAGGTCAAAGAGCCCGACCTGTGGGCACAGAGCAACCCCCCCACCCCACCCCGCTCCATTCGGGGCATTCCCCTCAAAGGCAGGAGTCCCCCGTCTTCCTCCCCGGGGCCTAAGCCGACCTCTGCCTGGGATAGTAATACAGATGCTCCGTTTGCGAGATTTGCATTTTTTAAGCGAATGGGCTGGCCAGACTCTGCACAGCAAAGTCACTGTTTAGAACTGGTGTAAGTGGGGTCCTGCCACTAAAACCAGGCCAAGCCCGTCCAACGTGAGGTTCCTTGGACTGACACTCCCTCATCTCTCTCCCCCCCCCAGGCGATTCTTCAAGTCGCCCAACTTCAAGGGCTGGTTCCGCCAGAGGCACCGAGAGATGAGGCACAAGCTGGAGGCTCTGCACCTGGAGGCCATCGCTGAAGCGGTGGGTGGGAAGACTGCTGGGGGGGGGAAGAAACCTTTGAAACGATGAGTTCCCCCTCCCCAGCCTCTTCTGCAGAGCTGTAGGCTGACAGGCCATCTGTCCCCTCGCTGTAGGGCAAGGAACTAGAGCAGTGTGTGTGTGTGTGTGTGAGAGAGAGAGAGAGAGAAAAAGAAGTGCCCCAGTCTTTGCTGGCATTTCCCTTCTTGCCCAGCAGGCTCTGGGTTCAGGCCGGGCGCTGCTGCTCGGGCACCCCTGGGCAGGCCGAGAGCACGAAGGGGCCTTCCTCTGCTGCTCTTCCCTTAGAATGTCAGGGCCTGGATGGTGGACAAGTCCGAGGCAGAGGCGGTGGACCTGGTGCTGAAGCTCCGTGAGAAGCTGGTAAGCGGGCTTTCCCCCAGCCTCTCCCCCTCCCCTCCGTAGTGTCTGTGCAGGAGAGCCGGATGGGGGGTGCAAGGCAGCCTGCAGCAGTTGAGCCATTCCTCTCCCTGGGCAAAGGCAGCTGTTGCGTGGGGATTCCCCTGGCGTGGGGAGGGGGGGTCTGGAGGAGGCAAGAGTACTGGGAAGCATTTTCGGTCAACCTCCAGCTCCGAGCGGCCGTTCAGAGGACTCCTGCCCTGGGCTGCTCCTGCCAGGGTGGCTGAGGAGGAGGAGGAGGGGGCTGGCTCTCTGGTTGGTTCCCCTGTGCAGGTCCAAGCCAGGAGCCGAGGCCTCCCGGCCAGAGAGGAGACACTGCAGCGAGTGTGTCAGCACATTACCGTTGTGGTCCGGTCGCTGCCTGAGGACCTCCAGGCCGTTCTGTGTCACCAGGAAATGGCCGCTGCCAGCTGAAGGGAGCAGCTCAGTGGGGGCCAGTTCAGGGGGCAGGGGGCTTTCCCTCTGAGCTCCCTTTCTGCCACGGGGGCAGCGGTCCTGGGAGGCGAATGGAGAAGGTGCCAAGCCTGGTGTGGGATGTACAAGGGTGGTGTGTTCGCAAGAGAGCCTAATAAAAGCCGAATTAACAGAAGGCCCTTCGGCTGAGCTTCCTTTGGCGCTTTGTTACCCTTTTTATCCCACCACAATTCAAACTTTGCTCCAGAATCCGCCTGTCCGGAGAAGGGCAGCAGAGGCCATCTCTTTGGAGCCCCCTGGACAAGCCTGGTGGTCAGCAGAGGGTCTCTGCCCTTTCTTAGTTCACCACCCTTAAGCTGAAAAACTCACCAAATAGGAGCCCAAAGTGGATGCTCGTCTGATAGGAAGGGATTTTCCTCCCCCCCCCCCGTGTCCAGCCCAGGTCTTTGCCTGGCCAGCTGGAAGACCCCGGGGCCTACTGGGCAGGAACCCTGCAGAGCATTGACCAGAAAGACTTGGGCGGTTCTGGCCCCCAAGAGGCGAGGAGGGAGCAGGGGCTTGGAATGGGTGGGCAGGGGGGGCTGTGTGGTTGCTGCCCCACCTCCTCACCTTTAGGCTTCTTGGAGGCAGCAGGATCACTCTCAAGGTGGGGGGAGGGCTGGGCTCTGCCCATGGGGTGGTGGTGGTGGTGGTGAGGTTATAAGAGAAGCAGGGCTTGCGGCACTGCGAGGGCGCCCACCTCCCTGGCCTCTGGGGACTGCAGTGCTGAAGGCACATTCAGGGCCCAAACGGGCAGCAGCAGTGTTTGCTTCTCCTGCACTGACCATCCAGAGGGTGGGATTCCTTGTCCCTCGCCTCTCCCCACTTCAAAGCGAGGGGGCTGGGCTGCCTGGAGCCAAGCTGGTCCTGAGATTTGGGGCCTGCCCTCCCCCATTGAAGAGAGGCGGTGGGGTGTAGCTCCCTTGCCCATTTTATTTAGCAGAATGTTGAAGGACAACCATTTGTCTGAAATGATATAGGGTCTCCTGCTTGCGCAGGGGGTTGGACTCAGTTATTCTGTTATGTTTTATTCAAGGGGTGCTTGACTGCCTCTCGTGCGCAGCTGGATCCGAAAGGCTTTAGGGGCTAGCCAGACGTAGCCAGGGAGTCATCATAGAAGGCCTTCAGGTCTGGTGAGCAATGCAGCCGGAGCCGCTCACCCGCAACCTCCTGGCGGAAGTTCCCCCGCAGCCAGCCGTAGACCAGGCTGTGCAGGAAGCCCTGGAGGGGGGCGGTCAGAGCCTGGGCAGGGCAGAGAAGTCGGCCATGATTCCCCTCTGGGCGGCCATGATTCTCCTCTGGGCGTCTCTCTCGACCACCCGAGGAGGAGCTTCCTCTCCCCCTCCACTCACCGTGGCCACCAAGAGAGGGAAAAGGGTGGAGAGCTGCAGGCCAGTGAAGGACAGCACCACCAGGAGGCAAGCTGCGGGCAAGAAGGCCGGCCGGTCACTGATGCAGCCAGCCCCTGTCCTGCCCCTCCCCTCTTTGCACAATGGGTGGGGCTCTTCCTCTGTGCCGGCAGCGGGCAGGCCCGGCTGAGAAGGCCAGCTGGGAAACGGGCACAGGGTGCTCACCTGGCATCCAGCAGAGCACGAGGGCCAGCTGGAAGCTGCGGGTGACGTGGCTTCTGCCGGCAAGAGCCTCGCTCCGCAGCCCATGGCGGTCCTGGCATTGCCACCTCTTCACCCTGCAATAGAGAACCTGCCCGGGGAAGGCAGCGGCATCAGAAAGGCCACGTCCAAACCTCGACAGGAAGCAGGCAGAGCCCGGGACGGGGGAGGGCAGGGGGGCTCCACCCGGACAGGCCTTGGCTAGCTAAAGAAGAGATTCGGCATCTTCTGTCCCCACTGGCCTTGGAGGAGAAGAGCGGCTGGTGCTGGGGGGGGGGCGGTGCTAGCAGAGCAGATCCTAGGGGAGACAAGAGGGCAACCTCCATGGGGTCTTTGGGGAGCCAGAGGCTCCACGCCCACTCTGGTAACCAATGGGGAAGGGTCCAACCTCCCCCATAAGCCCCCCTGCCTCACTGACAGCTCTGCCACTGATTCTAAAGCTGCACCCTAAAACAAACTCACAAAAATTAAGTCACACAATGTTTTAAGTGCGACAGACCAAGCAGTTCCTTCCGGTGCCCGCTCGGCACCAGAGACAGCTTCGTGGGCCATGAAATAAAGCCAGAGGGGAAAAGGGCAGGTGGGGAGGGCAGGAGGGCAGTGGCCTGCTTTGGGCTTAGGCAAAGAGGGTGGTGCACGAGCCGGCCTGGCCCCTCAGCAGCCCCGACAGAGAGAGAGAGAGACCCTGCCTTAGCCAAGGGCTTCAGCCCAGCACCCGGGTCCAGCGCTGGACCCCGCCCCTTCCAGTCTGTCCCCGTAGCTTCAGCAAAAGAAAAAAAACTGCCTCCAACGGGCCTGGGCAGACTGGTAAGCAAGCCCCCTCCCCAAACTATCTGCCGGGGTCTTCTTGTTGCCTCACTTACCGCACAAGCGGCCACAATCAAGGCCACAAACACCAGGAAGAAGATGCTGCTCTCCGTGCCTGAGTGCTGGGGTGGGAGAGGGGGGCCTGGCCGTCTGTGGGCCTGGGGAGCAGGACCAGAATAGGGTAAAGAAAAGCAGAGATGGAGAAATGACTTTCCCCTTCATCACAAGTACACACTGACTAGTCCCTCGTCATCCTTTCCTAAAACACGACAGGCAACCTCTTCTCCTCCCCATCTCTTCTCATAAAGGGACCCTCCTCAACCCTCCTGGGGTCGCCATAAACACACTTATTTTAACCTATATCCTTTCATCCCTCAAAATTGCATTTAAGCCATCCCTTGCTTAGGATTGAAGGAAATTTACCCAGGACTGTCAAATTTAGTGATGCAGAGGTTTATAATGGCTAAAAAGCAATTAATTATTTCCAAAAGGAATTAGAAAAAGAATGGCGTGAACCCAGCCTCCTTTTAAAGGCACCGGCCGCCATTTCAGCATGATGGCTGTTTCCTCAGAGGCTCCTGGAGGGAGGGAGACCCTCTTGTCTGGCCGCCCTCGCCCCTGAGGGGGACCTCGTGTCCTCCAGGGAGGGAGGGCAGAAGATGGCTCTACTCGCCAGCTGCTCATTCCCCTGCGGTCAGGCCTTGCCCCCACTTTAGTTTGAAGTCCGAGGAGGAAGAGGGGGCATTTCCAGCTCACAACAGCAGCCCAGCAGTGCCGCCAACTGCCTGGGACCATGGAGGCCCTCCTTCGCTAGCCTCTCCGGAGGGAGGGAGGGAGGGTGGATGGGCCATCATTGGTCAGGGATGCCCCCAGCCGAAAGGGGGGGTGGAGGGCACGGCTGAACCCAAGGCTGCCCTACCTTAGAGCAGGAGTTCTGGGAGAGGTGGACGAGAATCAGGCAGCTGCAAGAGGAAGGGAGGAGGTGAGAAGGCCCCAGCCCAGGCCCCACGTCCGTCAGTCCCACCCTAACTCGCTGGGACCAGCAGAGGAGGGGACGAGGCTACCCACCTGGAGCAGGAGAGGTTGGAGGCCCCTGAGGAGTCCTGGCCGGCCTGGGGCCAAGGCTGGAGCAGGGCCACGCTGCTTAGGGGCCTGCCCGGGAGGACCAGCAGAGCCAGAGCCACGAGGCCAGGGAGCAACCTGGGAGGCAAAGGGAAACCTCTGGGGAGGGGCCCTGCAGGGCCAGAGACCCTCCTCCGGCCATCTGCAGGCTCCCTTGAGCTCTACCTACCAAGCCAGGGCGTAGGGCAGAGCCAGCTGGAAATTGGGGCAGCAAGAACTGTTCTCCTGGGCAGGGGAGAGAGTGATGCTTGTGGGCATGGCGAAGAGGAGAGCTGGCCTGGGGGAAAAGCAGCCCAGCTCCCACGTGAACTGAAGTCACAACTCCACCCCACGGGGCTCAGGCCGTACCTCACAGAGATGGATGGACGGACGGACACTCTCTCACTCACTCACTCACTCTTAATGGGGACTTCAGCACTGGAAGTGCGGAGAGCCCAGGTGCCACGAAGGCTTTTGCCCAAGGCTGGGGCTGACCGGCTGGGCCCTCCTCCCACCTGGCTGTCCTGTGGGGAGCAGGTTGGAGAGGGGGAGCGGCTCTCAGATTCACCCTCCAGCCTCCTCCGCCCAGCCACACACTTGGACAGGCGATCGCAGACGGCCCCAGCAGCAGCAGCAGGGCAAAGGAAGCCACACCCCAGAGACCCCCCCCCCCAGGGGCCATACCTGAGTCACTCTCCAGCCTCCGACCACCCGGTTCACTTCGCAGGCGTACACCAGCACCATCAGCAGAGAGATGGCGTAGAACATCTGAGGGGCAGAAGGGAGGGGACGCACAGGGTCTGCAACGGAGGCAGGCCCTGCTCCCTCCCGAGCCCTCTTTCCTTGGCTTCAGGACAGCCCCCCTCCCGTTCAGCCCCTTCCATCCTGGCTCTTAGGTGGGGCCAAAGAGGAGAGAAGGAAGCAGCCCTCTCCAGCCCCAAAGCCCCCTCCCCCGTCCAGCCCTAGTGTGGGGAGGCAAGGGCATCTCCGCCTAGTGAGAAGCTGCTGCCCGGCTGGAGGACTGACCCACCAGCCCACCCCCATCCCCACAGCACGGACTGGGCTGGGCTAGCAGGGAATCGACACCCCCCACACACACACACTTAGACCTGCCACGCCTTCAGTGCCGCCTGAGGAGGGGCAGAGTTACCATGCCAAACATCCGCCCATACGGGCAGAAGCTGTGGGCCGCCCCAAAGTGCTGGGTTGGAAGAAGGTGGATGGCCATGGTGGGAATCAGCACTGCAGCACCCAGGAAGTCTGCAAGGGAGAGGAGGACGAGAGGCCGGAGCTGTGGACAAGCAAGGGGTCAGAAGTGCCCTCCAGCCCCCCGCAGGCAGAGCCACCCTCCCTTCTGTGCCCCTCGCAGCATGGGTTCTCCATCTGCTCCGGCATTTTCCTACAGCCGTGCAGTATCTGGGCGAAGGCAGCCTTGCGAGTCCTGGCATGGGGGGGGCGTTCTGTGGGGCCAGGGCTCCAACTTAGCCCCTGGAGAACCCTGAGTCATCAGCAAGGGCGGGAGGGGATTGTCAGCTGAATGCAGCCACGCTTGGACAAGGCAAGCATCTGCAGCAGGGGGCCTGCCTGGGGTAGGACCCTAGAATCTTAGGGCTGGAAGGGACCTTGGAGGTCTTCAGTCCACCCTCTGGCCAGGGTAGGAATCCTTATACTTTATTATGCCTTTCTCAAGCAAAGGTGTCTCCCCGTTTTTTCAAGGGGCCTCTATGTCTGTCCTGGCAGCCTGAACTAGCCAGCTGGCCAGAAAGTTCCAGGCTTTTAGCCAGAAATCAGGGCTGGCAGGCTGCTCAGCTTGGGGCAGCAGCACGCTCAGCCTTCCAGGCTTGGCGCTGGCTCAGTCATCAGAGGCAGAATCGCTCCATGGTTAATAAATATGGACCCATTTCCAAAAGAGGCCCTGGACACCTGGGCGGTTCCTGCGCCCCACACCTGGCAGTGAATCCCGGCGGTTCGTCTTCAGTGGGATAGCTGCCACTGTTGCCCTTTGGGGCATTTTTGCAGGTGGCCTTCCCTGGAAATTAGCTCTCAGGTGGAGTTATTCGACCTCCATTTTAGGGTGTTTATGGTGTTTTACCAGACAGCATCAGAGTTCTTTAAATGAATCAGCAGGAGAGAAAGACAGAAGAGGGAAAATGGGCCAGATGGCATCCTGCCCTCGGCAGCGGCCCTCAGGGGCAGGCGGCTTCCTTCTGGGGTGGCATCAACTGAGCCCACAGCAGGGATTGGCACTTTGGCATCGGGGACCCTCTGCCAAACTTTCAGACGCCAGTCCAAACACAGCAGGCATTTCACCAGGCTGGTTAAAGATCTATCAGCTGCCAAACCTGTGTGCATTAAAGTTGGTGTGTGTGTGTGTGTGTGTGTTAACATGTTGGACAAACCCAGCCAGCTTGTGTTATAATTCAGTGTCTTGTGGAAACCCAGAAAAGCAAGTTGCCAAACGCAGAGCAACCTTTGGGAGTCACCATCAGACCTGGTCACAGCAGCATTGTCTCCGGCGGACGGCCATGGCCAGAATGGAGCCGCTGCCCAGCAGGCTGAAAGGGAAACCCAGCAGGATCCGGTGGGCCAAATGCTGCCACCGCCACAGATCCACCCAGGGCCAAGCTCCTCCTTCCTCCCCTCCCCTCCCCCCAGTCAAGTCTGCACTGGGAGCAAGTCCCGGGCCTTTCCTCCTCCACCCCTCCCCATTTAGCCACCATCAACCGTCCGAGAACAGGGGCCTCCCTCCAGCCCTGCTGCACCCAAGGAGGCCCACTCACGCAGCAGCCAGACACCCCAGGAGGCGACCCGCTTGCAAGTGATGCAAAAGAGGCAAGACCCTGCTGCCCTCCCTCTTCCTCCTCCTCCCCACACCTGCCCTGCAGCCCAAGCCTTGGACCTTAGACCCTTCCAAGCCCTCCTTCTCTCTCTCTCACTCACTCACACACACACACACACACACACACACACACACACACACACACACACACACGGCAGGGACACACACGGCAGGGCCACAAGGAAGCCCACACTGGCCGGCACGGGCACCCACCCTCCTTCAAAGGGGAGCCAGATGGAGTGGAGAATTTCCGCCCTACCCCGGGGTTAGTTTCCCCCAGGCTTCCCCCACAGAAGGCAGAAGGCCAGGCTCAGCCACCTGGGTTTCTGAGGGGGAAGGGGAAGCGAGCAAGGCCCCCCTCTTCGCCAGTCCCTCTGCTCACCTGAGGGAGAGGGTCACCAGGTAGATGCACACCAAGGCCAGAGCCTAGTGAAGAAGCAGAAAGACCAGGGAGGGGGCGTCCAGTCCAAGCCAAAGCACCCCGCAGAGAAAGCTCGCCTGAAGTGGGCCAAGGCGCTCCCTCCCTTTCCTCGCCCAGACTGGAGAGCAGGCCAAGAGCAGGCCGGGATCAGAGTCTTCCTAAAGTCTGCTGGCTGCTCCCACAACCCTGGCGAGCCTTTCCCAAGGCTCCCCCCCCCCCCATCTCTCTGCAGGACTAGGTTCCTGGCGCCCCAGGGATCCTGGCGGCTCTTCTGAAAACCCATTTCTGACTCTTGGTAAGGAATTCAGATTTGCACGAGGGGCTGATGATGAAGATGCCATCCAAAATTGCATTGGCCTTCCCTGCAGCCACATCTAGCTGCCCACTCATGGCTTGCAATGTACCGTTATTCCAAGTGCCATCACCGGGGCTTCTTTCCCCTGTGCATTGGGTGGTTTCTGAAGAATTGTGCATTTTCTCAATTAAACCTGACATTGGGTTAGTATCTCCAACCTGTTTATATCCCTTTGAGTATTGTATTTTTGGGTGCTCACTATCTCACTCAATTCTGCATCATTAGCAAATCTAAAACCACTGTTTCCTCTGAGTTGTTAACGAAAAGGGAGGCGAGGGAAGCACCCAAAACTGGGCGCCTTTTTCAAATGATATGAGCCGAGGTGGCGCAGCAGTTAGGGTGCAGTACTGCAGGCCACTTTAGCTGTGTTCAGCAGGTCAGCGGTTCAAATCTCACCGGCTCAAGGTTGACTCAGCCTTCCATCCTTCCAGGGTAGGTAAAATGAGGACCCAGATTGTTGGGGGCTATGTAAATATATATATATATATATATGCATTGCTTACTGGTGTACACCGCTTAGAGAGTGCTTGCACTTAAAGCGGTATATAAGTCTCATAAATAAATAAATAAATGGGGAACCAGGGAGAAGCACTGGGAGGATTCCGGAGTCAGCAACGCTTTCTGCTTAATGGTCAGTGCACACTTAATTGGCTAGCTAAGCAGCGTGAGACCAAGTACTTCAATGGTCTACCGTTTTCCATACTCTGCAAGGCAGTTGCCCAATTGAATAAAAAAATTTAAAAATTCAGGTTTGCAAAAATTTGTTGCTGACAAAGCTAAGCTGACCTGCAATAAAGCCAGCCTTGTTTTCGGCTGCCTGCTTCTTATCCTCCCGTGCTCTGTGGATGTATGGAAGCTGCTGGAGAGCAGGGCGCAGCAGCGGCCCTTTTGGAAATCTGGCCCTGCCTTTCCCGGAGCCAGAGGGTCCCCTCCATTCCTGGGCAAGCAAACCAGGGAGGAGGCCAGCTGACTCCCTTGGAAAGCCCATGGTGGGCCTGGAAGAACCACTCCCCCCTAGGGAGTGCAGGGAGAGGGCCCTGGTCTTGCACCAACCTGGCTGGAGAAAAGGCTGTGTGAATAAGGGGGGGGGAGGGACGCCTTAGGAGCCCAGAGTTCTACTCAGGGGAGCCCTGGCTCACCCTGCCTGGGCCAGCCTAACTCCCCAGTCAATTCTGTGGGGGGGGGGAAAGCTTCTCCAGGCTGGGCTGGGCAGCTGGAATTGACAGCCATTGTGGGAACAGCCCGTCCACAGTGGCAGGGCTTCTTTGGAAAGACTGGAGTTCGCTGTCAAGCCAGGCTGCCCGAGTCAGAAATTCAGGTGAAAACATCTCTTTGTGCTCTCCTCCACACCCATAGCTTACTGTTTGGCGGCCTGGGCAACAGACGCGCTCGCACAGCCTGGTTTGCAAGCGCTTGCGTCCCCATGGATTGCTACACAAGGCCAGACGCGGACGGAGGGAGCCTAGCCCAGCACCAAACCCCTGCTGGCTCTGGAGTCTCTTTCTTTTGTGAAAGAAAGCCAGGCAGTCGCAGCACCATCCAGGTTGGGCAAAATGTGCCATCACCGCCCTCCCCAAAGCCGCTGCCTCTCCCTAGGAATGTGCTGAGCCCCCAGAAAGGCCTACCTGGTCAGCCGTCAGGGCTGAGCCCCGCTCGCTTTCCTCAGCCATGGGATGGCGGCTTCAGCTTCAGCTCCTGACCTCGCCCATCCTCTCGGCCCTCCCTCTCAGCTGAGCTGCTTTGCACAAGCCCTCCCCCCCAGAAGCTGCCCCAAGGGCATTTGATGATGTCCAGCCTGCCACTCCCCTTACCCAAGGCCTCACCTGGCTACGGGTAAGGGGAGGGGTGTGCTTCTCAAGCCTTCCCTGTGGAAGGGGTCAGACTTTGCCCCCTTGCCCTGCTGGCTCCCCACCCTCCCCGGCCATGCTCTTCCCAGCAGAGGCTCTGGGGCTCTCTCTGAACGTGCTCCCTGCCCAGACCTCTGCACACTCAAGGCAGGGCTTGGCCCCATGAAGGAGAACGGGCCTGGCAAGCTACTCGTCTGCATTCAAGCTGCAGCCCGCCCTGTCCTTCAGCTCGAAGGCGTCCAGTTAAAAACCCACACAATTGGAGGTGGGGGGGAGAGCGAAACAAGGCCCACATTTGGCCACTGAGCACAGTGGGTGAAAGGTGACCCTCCCTCTCAATGCTCCTTAAATTCAGCTACAGGCTGGGTTTGTGCAGCGTGACCAGCTGTCAGGTCTTTAACGGGACTATTCAAGCAGGTTGCACATCCACCACTAGGCATTTCAGCATATGTGGCCAGAGTGGAGCAAACCTAGAAACCAGTGATTAAACCATGGCTTAGCCAGCCAAGGAAAATACCTCATCTGAACTGAGCCAATCATAAGGGGCCCTGCAGCTCAGGGGTCGGAGACCTGTGGAGTTGAGAATATGGTCGTGGCCAAGTTAGCCTAACCTCTACCCCCACTCGGGAGCCCCCTTCCGGGGGTAACCCCTCTCCGCCCCTAAACCCAGGGCCTCCTGCTGCAAGCGCCCTCAGCTCAGGCCTCCCAGAAGAGAAGCAGTCATGGTTTGTCCCAGCACCTTAGCAGCAGCTCCACTCCCCGGCAGACTGCAGCACTGGGAATGGCTGCCCAAGCACCAGCCGCTCCGGGGGACGGGTAGAGATTTCATGCTGGGAAAGCAGGGATTCTGGATTGTTTGCTCCCTCCTCCTAGCTCCGCTTGGGGTCACGTCATTGGCCTTAAAATAGAGGGGTCCAGAAGTCTCAGGCCGCTGCCCTGCCCAGGCGGGTGCCCTGTGGGCCTCGCTTCTGTTCTCCTTCCACAGCTCAGAACTGATTTTGCAACTCATCCCCCCTCCCCCACAAGCTTCTCCCGCACTGCAGGCTCAGCCCTATTCCGTTCTGTAGTCTGCTGATCCAGATGGCAGAACTCTAAGGAACCCAATAAGCTGCAGTTGCTCTGGGCCCTCCACTCCCACCTCCCCAGAGGACGGATGGCTAAGCCTTCTGCACCAGGAATGTGAGTGCCTGACTCTCTTCTGACCTCACAGTTGCTCTTACCTGCACCCAGTTCTCTTTTTCAGATAACTGTCTGCACTACCCGTACAAAATACAACTGTGTTTACATAGGCCATGCCCCAAGAAATTGCACATTTTGACATAATGGCTTAATCCTCCCAGAGGCTAAGACAACGGCTGAGTTCCCGGGCCAAAACCTGCTGTGAGGCTCCGTCCTTTCATACATGATGCTGAAGTGCCTATTAGACGCAGCAGGCAAACTGAAACTGGCGGATGACCCTGCAGGGAAGACGGGTAACAAACCCCAGGCTGCTGTCCTTTCTGGGCTGTGAAGGGAGCCAAGAAGGACCCCCGCCCTATGTGGCCACCCTTGCCAGATGGGAGGCCATAGAGTCGACTTCCACAGAAATGGAGAGGGGGGAGGCAGGACCCTCGGCCTGCCTTCGAGTCCTCGGCTGGGAGAAGGCATGCAAGCAGTGCCCAGATTAGGAGGGGGGAAATCTTGGCACCTTCTGGCCAGGAGCGGCTGGAGAAGCCCACCAAACCCCCACCAGGGACTGTGCCTCGACCGCAGTGGTTGAAGCAACATCCCGGGGGGCTCCATCTAAAGGCCGGGTTCTGCCTCAAGCCCAGGCACTCACAGGGGAGGCTTCCACTGCTGACGCTTTATTGACTGGCCTCAAGCTCAACTGCAGGTTCCAGAGTCCAGAGGTTTCCCCAGTCCACATTTGGCACAAGTGTTGGAACAAACACTGGCCAGACTCCTGCATGGAGCGCTTTAAAAAGAACAAAGATCCCAAATTGAATCCCTGCAACCCCAGGGAGGTAAATCGCTCAAGCTGGAGTTTCAACTGGGAGCCCTGGCTGGTCCCGTGGCCTCCCCGCCCAATGGCGAGGAATGGCTTCTGGTTTGCTTTGAGGCCAGGATGGGAAGCCAGCCTCGTTTTGAACCCAGCAACCCCCGCCCACCCAGAGCAAGCAGAGGGGGGGTTTTTTCATCTTTTCCCCGAAGGCCACCAGCTGCTGCTTCCATCCATGTGGCTCAGGACAGCCTGTCTCTCCTCTGGGCTAAAATGCAAAATAGTCAATATGGCTGTCAGGGTTTGCTGGCGTCCCAGCGAATCTGTCAAAGTCAGGAACTTGTAGAAAATGTTCTTGAGGTACTCCAGGTTGGCTCCCTCCCTGCTCTGGTCCCTGAAGGTCTTCTGAATGCGGCCCTGGAGCAGAGACACCTCCTCCCGGTGCTTCTCTCCTTCTTCCAGCAGCTTCTCCTGGAACTGGTGAGCCTCCATCTCCAGCTGGTGCTTCTGCTTTCTCAGGGCCAGGAGCTCCACCTCCTTCCGAGCCAGCTGCTCCGTGTACAGCAGGAAGGTGGGCTCGTTGGGGGCAGGGAGAGGCAGGGCCAGAGGCTCCAAAGCATCATCACCCACCCCACCACTGCTCTGAGCACTGCCGCTGCCACCACTGCTGACACCTGGCCCCGTAGTTGCTTTGGGTGCCTGCAGCCCAAAGGGCATAGCCAGGACCCTCAGCTGCTGCAGCTCCTGGTCCTTTTCTGCCAGGATGGCCAGGGCCCGGTCGCGCTGCTTGTGCATCTCCTCCTCCAGCCGGAGGGACTTCTCCCGGCCGTCCGACAGGCAGCGCTCCAGCTCCTGGCGGTGGAGCTGCTGGAGGAGAGCCGCTTCTCGCCTCTTGGCCTCCACCTGCTCTTGGTGCTGCTTGGCCTCCACTTCGCGGGACAGCCGAAGGGAAACGTACTTCTTCTTCAGCTCCGACAGCTGCTCCTGACTCTCCTCCAGCTCCTTGGCCAGGTTCCCGTCCTTGGCTGATTTGTTTTTCAGGACCACCTGCGCCCTCACCTTGTACCTCTCAAACTCCTCCTTCAGCTGCTTGAGCTCCTGTTGATAATAGGCCACAGTGGCCTTCTCACCATCCCCAGACTCCATTTCCTTCGGGGGCTCAGCCGGGCAGAGACCCCCAACGTCCCCCACGAGAGACGGGGCGTGCTCAGCAGCCACTCGCGCCAGCTCCGCCAACTTCTCCACCTTGTCTGTCAGCACGTTGGCGTCCAGGTGGCCGTCCTCCAGGGCAAGGCCCCCGGCGGCATGGCCAGAGGCGGCGAGGGCCAGGGTCTTGTTCTCAAGGTCCAGCTGGGCGATGCGGTCCTTCAGCTTCTGGATGGTGGCCTGGTCCTTCTGCCTGGCCTTCTCGTAGGCTCCGAGCAGCCCCGACATCTCAGAGACCCGGGCCTCCAGGGCGGCCACACGCTGCTCTCCCATCCGGAGCTGCTCGTCGGCTTGGGCGGCCTGGGGGGGCAAGGAGAGGCGGTCACTCCCACTCGTGGGGGACCAGGGGAGGGGAGGGGAAGGGAAGCCCCCCCCCCGCGCACCTTGCCGGCCTCCTGCAGCAGCTGCGCCTGGAAGTAGCTCCGCAGGCGCTCCAGCTCGGCCCGCAGCTCCCGGGGCTCCGCCCGGCGCGCCTCCTCCTCCGCCGCCTCCTCCGCCGGGCCCTGCTCCGCCTCGCGCCGCCGAGCCCGCTCGTCCTGCAGCAGCCGCTGGAGCTCGCGCAGCATGTCGGCATGGTCGGCCTGCTCCTGCGCCCGGTCTCGCTGCTGCGCCGCCAGCCGCGCCCGCGCCTCCCGCGCCTCGCCCTCCAGCCGCTCCCGCTCGGCCCGCGCCCCGCGCCGCTCCGCCTGCCAGCTCGCCTCCAGCCGCGCCTTCTCCCGCGCCAGCGTGGCCAGCGCCGCGCCCAGCCGCGCCTCCGCGGACCCCTCTGCCGCCGCCGCCGCCGCCGCCGCGGGCCCCTCCGCGGGAGCCCCCGCCGCCGCTCCCGCCGCCAGCGCGCCCAGGCCGGCCTCCAGCGCCGCCCGCTCCGCCAGCAGCCCCTTGTGGGCGCGCACGAGGTCCCGCAGGCGCGCCCGGTACTCGCGCAGCTGCTCTTCCTGCATCGCCACCGTCGCCAGCAACTCCCGCCGGCCCGGCCCGCCCGCCGCCTCCGCCGCCTCCATCGCGCCGCGCCACCCGGCCCGGAAGACGCGCCCTCACGCGCCTGCGCGGGGTCTGCCCCCTTGCGCGCGCGGGGCGCCGGGAGCGAGAGGGGCGGGGCGACGTAACGGGGGCCCACGGGGCGTGTTCTGGCGGCAGGAAGGAAGACCCGGCGAGGGACGCGCGATGCGAGCGGGCGAAGCGGCCAGGGCGGTCCCGGGCGCCCCGTGAGACAGCAGGGGACGCAGATGCAGAAGGGGACCCGTAGCGCAGTCCTGGCTGGACCGAGGACCGCCGCCCAGCGCATCTCCCTCCAGTGCCGCGTCCCGCCTTTGAGGAAGGAGACCGGCAAGCTGGAATGGGCTCCGCAGGGGGCAGCCAGGCGGCTGAAGGCCCGGAAGAGAGGCGAACGCGTCGGAGCCCGGGGGAGATCCCCGCCGCCTTCAGGTGCAGAAGGACCCCGGGGCCGGGTCTCGGGCAGGCTGGGCCCGTGCGGGGGCGGCAGAGCTTGGGAAGAAGACGTGGGGTTCTCGTGAGATCGCAAGGGGAAACGGGGCGCCTCGCAGAGCGTCCAGACAAAGAGGCATCGTCGTTCCCCATCGCCTGTGTTGGACGGAGGCCAGGAAGGACCGTGACACGCTGGAGGCACCCAGGGGTTAGCCAACCCCGATGATAAGAGACCACAAGAATAGAATAGAGCTGGAAGGGATCTTAGAGGTCTTCTAGTCCAGCCCCCTGCTCAAGCAGGAGAACCAATACCATCTCTGACAAGTGACTGTCTAGCTAGCCTCTTCTTGAAAATCTCCAGTGATGCAGCGCCTGTGATTTCTGGAGGCAAAAGCTGTTCCCCTGGTTAATCGTCCTCACTGTTAGGAAGTTTCTCCTTAATTCCAGGTCGCTTCTCTCTTTGGTCAGTTTCCAACCATTGTTTCTCGTCCTGCCCTCTGGTGTTTTGGAGAATATTTTGACCCCTTCTTCTTTGTGGCAGCCCCTCAAATACTGGAATACTGCTATCATGTTCTTTAGACTAGCCAAACCCAAGTCCCGCAGCCGGTCTCCAGGCCTTTGATCATCTTAGTTGCTCTTCTCTGAATTTTTTCCAAACTCTCAACATCTTTTTTGTGATATGGTGACCAAAATTGGCTGCAGTATTCCAGGTGTGGTCTTACTAGGATTTTATAAAGTGATACTAATACTTTGCATGATCTTGATTCTATGTCTCTTTTTAAATAATCCAGGATTGTATTAGCTTTTTTGGCTGCTGCTGCACACTGCTGGCTCATGGTCAAGTGATCATCCACTAGGACTCCAAGGTCCCTCTCATGGTTACTGTTTTTAAGCCAGGTCTCGCCCAGTCTGTACTTATTCCTTTGGTTTTTCCTGCCTAAATGTAAAACTGCTTTTCTCCACATTGAAACTCATTTTGTTGGACAGGGCCCATTGTTCAAGTTTGTCAAGATTTTTTTGGATCCTGAATTTGTCTTCTGGGGTGATGGCTACTCCTGTCAGTTTGGTGTCATCTGCAAGTTTCTATTCCCTCATCTAAGTCATTCATGAATATATTGAAGAGTACTGGGCCTCAGATGGAACCTTGTGGTACCCCACTGGGCGCAGGACACACTGAAGGGAGTTCTCAGTCATGGTTGCCATTTTCAAGTATCTCAAGGGCCATCACACCGAATGGCTGCGGAGGTATGAATTCCAGTGAGAAATCGTGTCTCATCAGAAGTCTCTTGGGCACATTGCTCACATCCACACAACACAGTCCAGTTGCTGAGTTCTCTCATTTTCCAAATTTCCAAACCATCCCAGTTGAAGTCAATCGGGTAGTCAGCCTCCCTTGGGAAAACCCTGGTCGTCTTCTCTGTGGGCATCAGCCCAAGCATTCTTGGCTGCAGTTCCATCCCAGGCCACCAGGAGGTCAGAGGGCCCCAGAGTTTCCTGAAGGCCACTGCAGGCTGTCTGGCTGCAGCTGCTGCTTCCCCTCCCAGTCTGAGCCACAGAGGAATTACTGAAGGATTCTGCCATGCCACCTTGCCCCCGCTGCCACCCTCCCCAAGAATGCCAGCCTTGCCTCTTGGGTGGTGAGCCTAGAGGTGTGGCACGATTTCATGCTTCAGAGGATGGGGAGGGGCTCCACTGGGAGGGAGGGAGGGCATCCCGTTTGAGAGTCCGGAGGGCAGTGGAAAGCCAGGCGGTTCTTCAGGGCCTGCATTGTGAGGTAACCAGGGGTCACAAAGGCCAGAGCGGCCAGCGGCTTCTAGCCCTGGAATGCTGGGAAGGGCCACCCAGAGGCCTCCCCAGTGCTGCCACCAGAAGGGTTTCCTGGGCCCTTGTGCCAGAGCCTTGCCCAAGTGAGACCCGGGGGGGGGGAAGGAGAAGGGGGATCTGCCATTCCTGTTCTGCTCTCCCTCATGCAGATTGGGCTCGTCAACTGGACGGGGGGGTATCTCACCTGCGAGTGCTATGGGGATGGTGTCAGTGTCTTGGGGAGCTCGCTGGGAAAGAAACAGGTATGGAGTGAGGGAACTGCCAGCCTGGACGCCTGGCTCTGGGGGCAGAGGCAGGGGCTGACCTCCTTCCGGCAGTGGGAAGACTTGCAGCAATGCTTGCTCTCTGCCGGCATCAAACCCCACCGCCTGGCAGTGCACCCTTTTGCTCCAGCAGCTACCAGAGGAATTGGGGAGTGGGTGTTTGCTTTGATTTATTGAATTCAGTTTATTATCTGAATTGGGGGAAGGCAGCTGCTCCCCATCGTGGCAGGGAGACCTCGGGGTTTTTGCTGCTGGCAGGCCTCTGAGTAGGCAGAGGGGCCCCTCTGGAGAGCCTGGAGAGAGGCCCCTCCCTTTGGGGCTCCACGGAGCGTCCAGGCTGAGCAGGTTCCTCCTCCACTCTGGAAGGAGGGGGCAGCTCACCTTTGGAGGTTCCGCAGGTAAGAAGGAAGAGCTTCAGCCTTGGCTCTGAGCCCAAAGCAAGGGGGGGCTGCACCCCGGCTGGGAAAGGCCTGGTTCTCCTCTTGGCTGGGACTCTGAGTGGCGGCTGGAAACATCTGGGTAGGCTCCCGCACCTTCAACAGCAGACTGACAAAAGAGGGGCATCGGGGCAACTGGGCTTTGCCTAACTGGTCAGCTGGGCTGGTGACTGGCCATTTTTGCTCTCCCAGACCTGGAAGCTGAATGTGACCACAGAGCACGGGAAGCAGGACGTGGTGGCACTGATTGGGCATCAAGGGCAGCTTCTCCTGGTGGAAGCAGATGGCACGGTGCGTTGTGGACGGCCAACGGCCGAGAAGCAGAGCCAGTTTCTGCTGGAGGTCCATCCAAGTGGGGCCTGGACCCTTCAGCAGTTGGAGAGCCAGAAGTTCCTGGAGTCTGATGGTGAGGATGTCTTCTGTGTGGCCCGAGGCCTGACCGCTCACCACCTGTGGATGCCCCAGCTGGCTGAACACGTGCACGTGGTCCTCTTCCACCCCAGCAGTCAGCTCTACGCCCGAACTGACCCAGAGCTGAACCGGGTCTGGGTGGATGCCCCTGTGCCCTACCTGGAGGAGTGCGGCTTCCTCCTGCGGTTCAGGAAGGGGACCTGCCACTTGGAGACCTCCACCCACAAGTTTGTCTCCAGAGCAGAGAAGCTGGCCACAATGCCCTCCACGGAGACGGCCTTTCACCTGAACCTGAAACCCGGCTGCCTGGCCTTCCTCACAGACATGGAGGGGCACGTCTTGTACCCGCAAGGCAGCCGGGGGCTCCTTTGCCTTGGGGACCACCCAGAGGAGAACGAGGAGTGGTTCATTATAAAGCGGTGCCCACCGTGGGTCAGTCTGAGAACGAGAGCCAACAGATTCGTCAGCATCATTTCTGGCAAGTCAATCCCCGTTTTTCCAGCCTAGGAAATAATGGTAGGAACAGTTGCCTGGAGAGCAGGGACTCATCCCACCCTTACCTGGTCAGGTCACTACAAACCTGAGCCACTTTAGAATTGAAGTGGAGTTCACCCTGTGACATCACTTAAAATAAGAAATCAAGGCTTCGCCGTGAGTGTGGCCACCGGGACCTGAGAAACACCTCTGCTCTAGTCGCTGCCTCCATGCATGCAGGGAGCCTCTAATGGGGCGCCCTAAAGAGCTGCCCGTGAGGAGCATTCGGAAGCTGCAACTGGCACAGGATGCAGCGAGGTGGGCAGTTCTTGGGGCCCTAGGATGGCACATGTGACACCATGCTACGCTGGCTGCCAGTTTGCTTCTGGGTCCAATTCAAGGCATTGGTCATTACCTTAAATCCCTTCCTGTCCTGGGCCCAGGCTGTCTGAGAAACTGGCTCACCCCAATGGGATTACCCACCCCATTGCACTAGCAGAAAAGAGCCTGCTTCGGTTCCCGTTGGCCAAAGAATTTCAGTTGGCAGGTTCAGGAGAAGAGCCTTTTCTGCTGTGGCCCCCGTCCTCTGGGATATTTTCCCGTCAGAGGGGAGATCCGCCTCCACACACCCTGGCCTTCTGGAAGAGCCTGAAAACCTGGCTGTGACTCCTGGCCTGGGGCCCCGAGAGGAGCCTGCAACATTGGAGAAGAGAAGATTCGCACCCACAGGCTGCCCGTCATCTTAGCTTTAACTTCTCTATTCAGTCATTCTAATAGTTTGTTTTAGCAATTTTTAACTTTTTATTATATTGTAAGCTTCCCAGTGTCGCTGTATCAGTGATGTGGGCAGCATAGAAATTTAATAAATGAATAAGGAAAAAGCTATTCTGAAGGCCGCATCCTCTGAACTGGCCCCAGGGCTTTTCATTCCAAGGGGTGAGGAGGCTTTCAGCTGCTGTCAGCACAAATTGGTGGCCATCCTTCCCCTGGCTATTCTCTCTCTCCCGTCTCTCTGCTCAGACTCCGAAGTCTATGCTGGTTCTAAGAAGCTGAGCCCAATGTCCATGTTCCTGTTTGAAATGGACTCCAACACCCAAACGGTGCAGTTAAAAGGCGTCCATCACAAGTACCTGGCTCAGGTCAGGCCTCGGCTGCTGCTGCTGCCCCAGCCCCACAGCAAGCGGGAGGTCAGGATGAAACCCCAGGGGGGGGGGCTGGGGGCAGATACAGCACTGGACTGTGGGACAAGGAGGGAGACCCGGCCTGGCAGCCACCCACCCACCAAACACGAGTGAGTGGGGATGCATGCCAGGCCAGCAAGTGACCCTTGGGAGCTGAGACAGGACAGGCTCAAGGGGGCCAGTTGAAGCCCTGGGGAGTCAGCCTGAGTCTCGGTGGGGAGCTGGGAAGGAAGAGTGGTGCAGCAGAGGAATAGTCTGCCTAGAGCAGAGGGGCCACCCCACCTCGACTAATGCTGGATAGCCCTACTTGGGCTTGACGCTGAGCAAGGCAACCTGATGACCATCCAGGTTGCTTCAGGCCTCTCCTTGGGAGGTGGGAAGAGCCATTCCCGACCTCTAAGGCAGAGCACTTGTCTGAAGATGCCTCCCTTGCCAGGCTTTTCCCTGCTGGGAACGGGGTGTGTGTGTGTGCTTCATTTCTCCCTCCATCCCCCTCCGGTCACACAGTGGGACCTGCCCTACCTGGCCCAACCCCAGGAATGAGGCATGTGGGATGGCACCCCCACAGGGAGAGCGGATCCTGCCTGCCTGCCTGCTGCCATCCAGTGGAAAGCTTTCAGGGAGCCTCCCCCTCCTGACTGTGTCCTTTCCCCTCCCCAGAGGCCATTCCGGAGCGTGCTGGCCAACGGGACTGCCAAGGAGGCGGAGACCAGGTTCCAGGCCCTCTGGCATTACGGGAGGGTCTTCCTGAGAGCGCCTGGGGGGCGCTACCTGGGGACCCTGCCAGTGGGGCTGTTGGTAGCTCGAGCCACACATCCAGGTGAGGAGGACCTACGCCTTGAAGCAAGTCCAGGCATGCGCACAGTTCCCGGGTGCTCCTGCGCCCCTGCCTCTCCCAGAGAATTTGGCCTGGGAAGTCCTTTCCTGCCTGAGCTCAGGCTCCCGCCAGGCTCCCCCCTGCCCTCCCTCCCCCCCCCACCATGGACCATTCCCCCAAAAGGATGTCTTTTGCCTCCCCAGGGACGCCCAGCCAGCCAGCCTCAGGCCTCCCCCTCCCCTCCCCCTCCCAGCAGCAGCAGCCATCCCCCCTGCTTGTGGGCAGTGTCCCTCCCGGCTTCTCCGCTGACCGGTTGTAGGAAGCTGGCTGGGGGTTGCCCAGCCCATCGGTGGTGGGGGTTCAGTTAGCGACTGCTGCCACTAAGCAGTGGGGTCTCACAGCCCCCAAAGGGACGTCCTGGCGTGTCTCCCTAGTGGGTCAAGTGGTGCCCATAGCCCGGACAGCCGTGAAGACGGGGTTGCCTGTCCCCCCCATCCCCCACTTGGGGCTACCGTTCCAGAGGCCTTGGCAATGGCCGGGCTTCTGATGGGCTGGGGAAGTTAGTCCTTGACTTACAACAGTTCGCTTAGTGACTGTTCAAAGTTGTGACAACACTGAAAAAAGAGACCACCATTTTTCACACAACTGTTGCAAACGTCCCCCTGGTCACGTGATGCAAGTCCAGCTGTGTCGGAATTGTGCAGCCAGCGTCCCAATGAAGTGGGAGACGCTGACAGGAACTTGGTAGTTTTATGTAAATAAATTTATTTCCCATCTATCTCTATTTCTATCTATATCTAATCTATCTATGCATGCCTGTAGCAGGCGAGGCAGACGGGAGCCTCGTCCTGAGGTAAATAAATGGCAGAGTGCAAAAGGGCGCACGGGAGAAAAAGGCGGGAAAAAAGGGAAACTCCCCCTCCACGCCCAGTGCAGCCAATCAGCCTGTCCATCAACTCTGTGTCCACCCCCCACAGCCCTTGGCTGCTCCAGCTGCCAGATGGGAATACCTGAACCTGACGCCTGGTGACTGGCTCGTACTTACGACGGTCGCTGCGTCCCGGGGTAGACCTTTTGACAAGCAAAACCAATGGGGAAGCCAGATTCACTTAACAATCCTGTTACTAACTTAACAACTGCAGTGATTCGCTTAACAATTGTGGCAAAAAAGGTCGTAAAGTGGGGCAAAATTCACTGAACAACTGTCTCACTTAGCTATGGTGATTTGGGCTCAGTTGTGGTTATAAGTCAAGGACTGCCTGTATTAAACACTCAGGAACACATTGAGTGTCTCTGACTTGGAAGTCGTATCTATGGCCCAGTCAAACACGAGCACCGTAAATGTTTTTTATAACATTTGTATTTATTAAATTTATATGCCACCCACCTTGCTATGCATAAATCGATTTGTTTTATTTACCTGAATGGGGGGGGGGTGATGCCCTCACGCAGTGCTGGCAGCTGAGCTGTTAAGAATGGCTTGATGGGGCCTCCAGGCGCCCCCTGCTCTGTGCCAAGCCCCCCCCCCCTCCGCAGTCTTTCTCTGCTGCAGGGCCCAACGAGGAGTTTGTGCTGCGCTTTGCCAATCGCTCCTTCCTGGTGCTGCGCGGGCACTACGGCTACGTGGGCAGCTCCCCCTGCCGAGAGACCCTTCAGGGCAACCTTCTGGAGCCAGAGCCGGTGGAGATCCTGCCTTGCAAGCAGGGCATCTACCACCTCCAAAGTAAGCCCTCTGCACCCTCTCCCCTCCCCCCCTGCTTCATAGGGAAACCGGGTGGGGGGGCTTCCCTCCCCAGAGGAGCCAGGCCAGGCGGGGCTCCCTTCTCTCCAGCAACTGTCCCTTGGGTGATCCCATCCGCACGGACACCCATCCTGGCCTGTTTGGGAGAACATTCGGTACAGACGTCTCAGAAACGGACCTTCCTTCCTGTCCCCTCCGCCGCCTTGAAGCCAGAGGCTGCTGATGGGAGAGACAGGAGACTAGCCCCTCCCCCTCCCTCCCCCCCCCCTTCCACAGGCCGTGGAAAGAGCTTTTGGTCCCTGACCCCAGAAAGGACCTTCAGTCCTTGGGGGAAGTTTGCCTTGAACTTCTACCTGGAGATCCAGGGGAACAACCTGCTGGCCATTATAGCCCCCAACGGCTACTACGTGCGTGGAGACCGGGATGGTTGCCTGGTGGCTGACAGTGAGGCGATCACCCGAGACTGCCTTTGGGAGTTCTAGCCTAGGAAAGGTACGGAAGGCCAGGAACATTCCTGGAATGGTGTGGGGGGGAGGGAATGCGTGGGGAGGAACCTTGCCCTTGGGAACCTCCAGGGCAGCTCCTGCTTGCCTCCCCTCCTCCCTGACCCATGTGTGGGTCAGAGGGGCTGCCAGGGGGGCTTTGCTAACTGTCCCTCCTTGTTCCCAGGCCTCATCTGGAAGACGTGCCCAGCGGAGCAGACCGAGTGGCTGGCTGTCTGGACACGCTCTCTAGGGCAGTCTGCCATTACTCGTCCAGGTGCTTTGCTGGAGGCTCCCCGGCAGCTGAGGAGGGGCCTGTTGCTCTCCCCATGAGCCAAAGGAGGTTCCTCCACTCACCTCCAAAATCTCTTGGGGAGGCAGTTGTGAGCTCTTTGCACCAATGAAGTGGCTTCACCCCTTTTGGCTCCCTGTTACATTTTCTCCTTTGCCTCCTGACATTGGGAAGAGGGCAGAGGTCTCTGGTCTGGGTTCAAATGGTCGGGAGGAAGGGGGGCTTCCAGGCAGCTGTGAATGAATCCAAACCAGGCCAGTTGCTCTGCCTGGGAAGCAGGGCCACTCTGAGAGGCCCCGAGGGGCCCCAAGGGAAAGGGCCCTTGCACTTCCCAGCCCAGGTCTTCAGGCAGGCTGACGCCAGGCTGCCTCTGGGCCCCAGCTTGAGTGCTGTCTGTCCAGAGAGGAAAGGAGTCCGTTTGAGCCCTGGAAAGTGGGGGGGGTTGTGCTGTGGCCCCTGTCTTCTGCCCAGAGGCCGGGGGTTCGCCTCCCCCAGGGCTGGGGGGCAGAAGGGCACCCAGGAAGCCAATGCCTGGCCTGGGAAGAAGAGTCAAGGACTACAAACTTTACTGGAAAAAACAGGGCAAAGTTTCTCTCCCTTTTTCCTTGGGGAGGGGATTAAGGGCAGTTTTCCAGCCCTTAGCTTGTTTTTTCTGTTTGGCAGAATCTGATCCTCTCCACCTTCGGTTTCCGTGCCTTAAGAAACCTCCTGCCTTTGCTCTCCCAGCGGCTGCTCCTCCTCTAGCCCCGTCCTTGCGTTTCATTCCCTCTGGTTTGCTCTGCTCCATTTGGGGAGGGTCTCCCCCCATTGCTGCAGCTGCCATTCCCCCACTTTCCTCGGGGCCTCCCCAGCCTCTTTCCCTGCCTCTTCCCTGCGTCTCCCCAGGATTCCTGCGGATGGGCCTCCTCCTGGTACTTCTCTTCCAGCGATTCTGCTTCCTTCCTTGCTTTTCTTCATTTCCCCCCAACCCCCTTCTTGACCCTGCACAGTAACCGCCTGGCCCGCCTTCTGCCCCTCGCCACAGGGCTCAGTCTGTCTTGGGGGGGGGGGGAAATCCCATCAACCAGGCTTTTAGTTGGGCACAAGCGGACTTCACGCTTGACCTGCCTGTCCACCTTTTCCTAAGTGAACATTCATTCAAGCGTCGCCGTTCTTATTTAATTCTGGCATCTTCAGGTGACCAAATTGCTTTTTCTGTACAATAAGCTGTTGTATTACCACAGTTCAGCGGCAGGAAGCAGAAAACATCGCCCAGGGCCATTTCCGTAGGCACCCACAAAACCCCAGATAACATCGGTTTAACCTTTTATTCATAAGTTAACCTGCAGCTTTACTGTCCTGCGCGCGTGTACATTCAGGCCTTCAAAATCAAATAATTCTGACATTCTTTTATCCCCGGTCGCCCAGGGAGATCTCTTGGGGTGGATTTCGTTTTCCTGCTACCACCAAACCTGACCGGGAGATTCTTTGGGTTCCCCCATCAGGAGGCAGAGAGGAGATTTGGTGGGAAAGCCAGTCTGCCGCCCCTCCCCCAGAACAAAAAATTAGCTCCCATTCTGTAGCTTAGAGAGAAGCACGGGCGGGCCCCTTTAAGGCGGCAATTTGGGCGCCCCCGCTGGGCTGCTCATCCGGCCCGCTCCCTGCGCTGCTCTTCGGCCGGAGCCCCGCCCCGCCCCGGGGATTTAAACTGGGAGGACCCGCCCCCCCCGAAGCCCGCTGCGGGCCCGGTCCGCCACTTCCCCCAGTCGGGGGGGGGGACGCCGCGCACAGCCCCGCCCGCCCCCCCGGCCGCCTTTCGGAAGGGAGGAAGCGAAGCTGCTGCAGCCGCCCCCGCCGCCCCCCCCAGGCTTCTGGCGTCCCGGCCGGGAGGGGCCGGGCGGTCCCGCGAGCGGGGCGCTTTCCTGGGAGGCGGGAGCGGCTGCGCGAGCCTCGGAAGGCGGGACCCCCGTCCAGCTTGGCGGCCAGCCCAGGCGGTCCGAGGGCTCCCCGCGGAGTTGGGCGACGCCTCCTCCCGGACTGGGCGGCGGCGGCGGCTGCCTTCGGGGCCGCAGCGGGGCTTCCGCTCTCGCACGGCGGAGGGCGGCGGGAGTCGCGCTGGCCTTCCCTCCGTTCGAGTGAGCCGACGCTGAGCGCCCGCTTCATCCCGGTTGGCAGAGGGCGGAAGCGGGACACCTCCGTCTGCTGCAGGCGGCTTTTGTTCTGCAGGCGTAGAAAACGCTCCCCCATTCTTTTTTTTTTTTTTTTTTTAACCCCAGCTCGCTTCCCCAAAACTTTCTCGGGAACCTCTCGGCTGTCCCGCCTCTCAACTCCAAAAGCTTTCAGGCGGTCTGCGTTTCTGTCGCTCGGCATCCCTCGGTCATCCAAAGGCACCCAGAGTCGGCTTCTCTCTCTTTTGGCCAAGCCCCCTCTCGCCGGCAGGAGGGCGGCCAGGGAAAGGTAGCCGTTCCGTTGGCCCGGCGGGCGTCAGGAGCTTCTGGCCGCAGGTTGGAGGTTGCCAGAACAGCCCCTTCAGGGGGAGCAATCCCCGGCAGGGGCAGCGGCAGCGGAGCTGCAGGCATGGCCGGTACCCACCTGCCTGGCCACAGAGGGCTGCAAGAAGGCTGCAGGCTTGGCGCCCTGGTGGGCAGCCACCATCCACACGCAGCCCCTGGAAAGAGATGGAGGAGCAGAGCTGTCCCACTGCTGGCTGTGATGGGACAAAGTAAAAACGGCAACTGGTGCTAGAAGGAACCCAGAGCTGCCTCCCGCCCGCTGCTCTCCAAGGTTGGGGATTGATTCAGAGAGCAGCAGCAGCAGCAGCCTGGGGTGGGCATTAAGGCCCCCAACGGTTGCTGTTGGGCATGGGGCCAGCTGGGTGGCAACTAACGTGTCCCAGGTGCAGGTGCCACCCCCTCTTTCCACCCGGGGGGGGGGTCACGGGCCAATCATTAGGATCCTGCACCAGCCTCTTTCTAGGATGGGTGGGACTTGTCTCTGTGGCAATTCTTACCTGGGGTTGCAGGTGCCAGCCCAGAGCCGGCGTGCTGTGCCCAAGGGGCTTCCCGTCGCCATCTCGCTCTCCGATTGGAGAACCAAACCTAATCCAAACAAAGACAAAGAGGATCAGGTGCGGACTTCACTCACAGGGGCTTCTTCCTGCTTGGAAAATGCACCCCCCAAGCCAAACCAGGGCCTGGTCCAGGTCAGGTGACTTCCAGCTCAGTGGTGCAGGAGGGCCTCCCTCGACTCACCCTCAGGGTGGCTTCAGGCAGTCTAGTCTGCCCGGCCAGTTCTGCCCAGGCTGCTGCTTCCAGGTATTGGCTTCTCTGGAAAGCTGGAAGAGGGAACGAGTGGGTCACAGAGCACACCAGAGGCCCTGGTCCTGCCCAGTGGCTGCCAAGGCCAAAGCCACATCACCCTTTGCCCCACCAAGCTGTGATGGTGGCTGGCTGACACCTGCAAGCTTCCTTCTCTCCCTTCTGCAGCATCTTGAAGGCAGAGTTTTCAACTCCCAGGCGTCCCCTCCCCTGCCCCGCCTGGATCCCCCTCCTTTGGTGCCTTCTTGACTCACCGCTCTCCAAGGCCTCCAGCTGCTCCTTAGAGAAGACGGTCCTGCTCTGAGTTCTGGGCGGCCCAGCTGCCCCCGCTGTCCGGGAGGAGGCTGGGGAAGTAGGAGCCTCTGCAGGACCCCCCCTCTTCCCTTCTCCTGTCAAGAGAGGGAGGGAGGGAGGGAGAGGCAGGGCAACAGTGGGTGCCCTGGGCCTTTACAGCCAAGGAAATACACCCTCCACTTATCACGGGCAATGATGCTTAAAGGGCATGGCCCTGGTTGCACCTATGGATTCCATAGGATGAGGACACAGCCGGATCTCGTGACGTGTGTGTGTGTGTGTGTGTGTGTGTGTGTGTGTGTGTTTGTGTTGTTTCTCCCAAAGTTTTGTGTGGCTGTGAAGGGTGGGCAACCAGAGGATCTTCCCAATCTCTGCCCAGATAGAGACTTGGCAAAGTTGCCTCTTCAGTATCTTGTCACTCCTCCCCATGAAGAATCCCAGGGTGTTTGGAGCCTTTTAAAGCCAAAGAAGAGCTCTGGAGGCACAAGGGGAGGAAGGTTGGGGGGAGAAGGGGGTAGCAAATGGGGGGAAACCCAGAGTCCCGGAGACAATTGTTTCCTGAAACGCTTGCTAGAAATATTAGGTCTCCTTGTGGCTGGTCTGGGGCAATTTTTGTTCTGTTTTTTTTTTTTTTAGTGGTGATTGTTGTTTCATTGCTGATTCTCAGAAGGTTTGCATTTTAGTGTCTAATGTAACATGGAAAATTTGCATCTGAATGTGCAAGATAAAAAAATAGTTTTTCTTTAACACAGTTTGCATTTACTCATCTCTGGTGAGATTAGTCCAAGAAGGGAAGAAAGAGTAGGAGGAGCACCGCAACTCAGGGAATTTGCAATGTAAATCTGCCTTCCCCTCCCCAACTCCCCCTCTCTGCCACAGACCAAGCCCTGCAGCAGGCAGCTAGGCGGAAAACAGCAGGACCTCCAAGCTGCTGGCCCCAAGCAGGAGGGAGGGGTTGTCCAGACTGGGGACTCCTGGGGGATTTGAGCCCTCCAGATGGGCACCTTCAGGATTCAGCCACCCAGGACCTCCATGTAGGTATTCATTGCATTTGTACCCCCTCCCCCCCAGTGATTTATGAGGTGGGAATCGGATAGCAACAGAACAGAGAGTGAATGAATCATAACCATACAGGAAGAAAGAGCTGGCTCTCTCGCCAGAATCCTGCCTGAACTGTGTGCAAAACTGAAAGATCAATCCTCACAACTCCTCAAGCAAGAACCTTCACGGGGAGGGGGAAGACAGGAACATGTGCTACACACATACCTCACCCTTCCTCAAATGGTGTGGCTCCTAATCACAATCACACTCCCCTCCACACTGTCCCCCCCCCCCCGATCAAATCCCAGCTTAGTGGTAGAGGCTACTGGGGTGGGGGGCTGGGGCCAAGTTGCCCCCCCCCAAACCAGCTAGCTCAGAACTATGGTAATGCACTGAACAGGACCCACATTTCCTTGCCACTCCAAAGGAGGGGATCCGGAGGTTTTACGTGGTCCAAAGGGCTAATCTCCAGAAGGACCCGGAACCCGGCCTTTCTTGGTCAAGCAAAAGGAGGGCAAGCAGGGCAGTTCCTGCCCAAGGCTGGGGGACTCCCAGTGGTCCCCTCACTCAAGGCCAGCGGCAGCTACTCCTGGTTGGGCTCTGGAGCAGGATGGGCGGGGCTTGCAGATCCCACAGGGAGGCAGGGCCACCCCACTGACCAAGGCCAGGCAACCTGGGACTTCTCTCATTAGCCAGGCCACCCTCCCACCCCACCCCCCACAAACACCTGTGCAGAAAGGGCCCCATGGTGGAGATGCAGAGCAAACCAAATTTCCTCCCCCTCCTCAGACCCTCACTGGATTCTTTGGTGCTGCTGATGGTCTCCCTTTGGTGGTGGTGATGGAGGGGGAGGAGGAGAAGTCACAGTCTCCTTTGCATAGCCTCCCCCAAAGACTCTCCCCCCTTACCTGGCTGTGGGGGCTTCTTCAGGAAGGGGGGCCCATCTGGAGCTTCCAGGCGTCTCAGGATGCGGTTGATGGAAGAGACCTGGAGGGGCAGAAAAAAGACTGGGTAACAAGCCCACGTTCTGTTAAGGCAGGCGCTGTTGGCTGGTGGAATTTACTTCCGAGTAGACAGCCCCTCAAGTGGCGGAGGCAAGTGGCACCTTTAGCAGGAATTAGCAGAATGGGGCTGCACGTGGACCCCAGGGGGCAGAAAGACCCCTAGGGAGAAAAGACCCTCCCAGGCTGATCCCTCTGATGGCTTTGGGTGGGGTGAAAGGAGGAAGCTCTGGGGAAATGCTGGGGTGGGGCTCGTAGTGTCACTCTCATCCAGTGTCCTAAGTGTCCTAAGCTGTCCAAAAAGTCCAGTTTCCTTCAGGGGAAGGAAAAGATCTTGGCCTCTCCAGAAAAGAGCAATAAGGACGGGAGGACATTGTCTGCATACGTGTGGGTGGGTGTTTGTGTGCACGTGTATCTACCAGTACGTTGGTGGATTTTAAAGGCAATGTACAGCTGAAGATGAATGGGGATGGATGCATGGGTAGGAAGGATGGAGAGTGAGTGAGAGAGTGAGTAAAAGAGAAAAGGAAAGAAAGAAAGAGGGGAAGGAAGGGAGGGAGGGAGGGAGGGAGAAAAGAAGGAAGGAAGGAAGGAAGGAAGGAAGGAAGGAAGGAAGGAAGGAAGGAAGGAAGGAAGGAAGGAAGGAAGGAAATGGCCATAAATGGTTGCAACTGTCTTGAGGCGTTTTTTGTGAAGGGTTTGTAACCCTCTGGCCGAGGTGTGTTGGCTGTTCCTCTCTAGGGAGAGAGTTGTGCCCCAAAGGATTTTCACTGCTTGGCCTTGCCCTGCTCACCCCTTGGCAGCAAATGCCCTCTTAATTCTATGGGGTTCAGAAAGCCTCACAGGGACCAGTCACCCGGGAATGACCCTCCTTGAGGACAAGTGGCAGCCAGGCAGACCTTGGCAGAGCCCCTGAGCCTCACTGCATCGGCACCTTCCCCTCCTGGCCAAGCCAGCCGGGCTCTGCCATTCCCAGCCCAGCATTGCTCTCTCGCCCCCCACTTTTCCTTAAAAGCGATCAGCTTGTTCCAGACCCCATGAAAGCCTTGGAGAGGAAGGGGTCGGCTCCCTCTTCAGTGGAGATAAAGACAAGTGAGAGTGGCAGCGCTGGCAAAAGGAGCTGTCACTCAGAAGCAACATTGGCTTCAGCAGTGCATGGAAGGAGGAAGGAGAGGATGGTCCCTGTGGTCCGTCAGAGAAGGTGAAACAAATTTTCTTGGGGAGCAAAAGGCAGCCCCGTTCAGCCCTCTCTCTTTGCCCAACACACATGCATGACTGCATGTGCCTGCTCTTACGCCCAGGTGGGCATGTGCATGCATGTGAACACACACACACACACACACAGCTCCTGAGTTAACAATGCACCCTCTGTAACTCACACTGGGTATCCCACTTGTAGGGCAGATGCCTGCTGCCTCCAGCTTTTCCCTGATCTCCCAGGCAAAGAGAGACGGCTGCTCCCGCTTCAGCTGGGCAATCCCAGCTACCAGCCAAGGAGTGGCGATCCGGGGCCGGCTGCCCCCTCTTGTCTTTGGATGGACAACACCCACCTTGTAGTAGCGGGTGAGAATCTTGCTGACAGACCCATTGGAGACCTGGATCATGTAAAGAGAAGGGGCAGACCTGGGCGAGCCTTTGCCTGGAGGCATGTTGGGAAGGTGGGGGGGGGGGAACGGAGAGGAAGACTCGAACCAGGCAGAAGAGAAGAGGGTATTCTCTCCCCAACCCCGCTGGTCGCTGCCCATCTGGCCCCTGTTCTTCTCCGCAGCTTCTTCTCTCCTTTTGTGTCAGTGCTGCCTCCCACCGTGAGGAGCACGGACGCCCACCCTCTCAAGCTACCCCTACCTTCAGTTGGTGTGAGATGTCAACAGCCCGCAGCCCACACAGAGCCAGTTCCACAATCTTCCTCCTCTTGGCGTCGGGCAGAGGGCAGCCACTCACAAAGAGTCCGCCCAGCTGATTCTCTCTCCTGAGCTCTACAAGGAGCAGAAGAACCAGACCTGACCACCAGCCCGCTTGGGCCAGAGATCACCTGGAGCCAAATGCAGGCCTCTCCCACACTCTCCTGTGCCCACTGAAGTATTGCAGTTCAGGCTGCTTTGTTTGTCTTTTCACTGGAGAACGGAGCCACGTTGCTGTGGGCTCAGCACTGGACTTGTCCCCAGCTGCCAGGGCAAGCTGCAGTTGAATCTGTTCCCTTGCCTGCCACCTGAAGCCACCCCTGTGGGGACAAGACGCCTCCCCTCTCTGTGACTCAGGGCAGGCTTGGGACAGCTGTTTCCTCTACCAACCGTTGGTACTTAGCTAGCCTCGCTTGCTCTCTTTCCTGCAGGAAGTAAGCCGGCTGCTGTGTGGAGAAATGATGGGAGAAGCCAGTGGTGCCGGGCTTCACCCCCAAAGCCCTCTGGCTGGCCCCTGGCTGCCATGAGCGACAGCCCTGTTGCTCCCACCAGAGGCCAAGGCAGCCCCCCCTGGTTCCAGCTTCAACTGGTCAGAGAAGCATTGCTTACCACAGGGTGGGACGGCATCAGGACCCCACTGGGCCATCTGTGCGTGCTGGGCCTGCGAGAGGAAGGGTGGAGCAATCAGCGGCCCAGCCGAGCAGCCCCAGGGTGTCCCCAGACAAAGCGCTAAGCGCTGCCTGAGGGTCTGAAGGTGAGGGCGCCAAGAACCTGGTGTCCTTCTTGCCTTCTCCTGACGTGGCACCTGGATACCAGTTGGGCACCACTGTAGCCCATAGACTCTGCCAGCTGTTCACTTTTATCCCCCGTTATGCCCACTGACCTGTGATGGCCTTTCTGAACACCTTTCCTCCCACGGAGCCGAGGGGAGACACACACAGACACCTTCTCAGAAGGAGCTGCTGCTCTGCAGCAGAGGAAGCTTTGCAGGTCAACAGCAGCGGATGAAGGAAAGGGGAGCACCTCCTCCTCCTCCTCCTCCTCAAGCCCCCAGGTGCCCCCGCTCCTCCCTCCCTCCCGCTCTGCTCCCAGCCTCCAGGCTGCTCCCCTGCTGCCACCCACAGGTGCTCCGCCTGGCGAGCGGCGGCTGGCATTTCAGCACCAGCGCGGCGCGGACAGCAGCCCCGGCGCCTTCGCCGTCCCGTCCGCATCTTCATCCGCGGCCCTTTGAGGCGCGGCGCCCGCAGCGGCTTTCCTTCCTTCGAGGGCCTCGGCGGAAAAGAAGCACCCGCTCCTGGAGACGGCCTCCCTCCGGCCTCCCTCTGCCTGCCAAAGACTCAGAGAGCCCGCCAGCTGCCCGCCCTTGGGCCCTTACCCGCCTCCCGGCGCTCGCTCGAAGTTCTCCCTTGGGGCGGCCCAGCGGGAGGGCTTCCCCTCTACACCCACCCGCGCCTGACCCGCACCATCGCGGGGACACCAACGCGGCGGCGGCGGCAGCAGCCCAGGAGAGCCAAGACGAGCTTCCTTTATTGTCGCGCTCTACCTGCGGTTCCTTTGTGCAAACAGAGGCAACTATGATTTGGCTCGGGGGCGGGGGCGTCCTGCCCCCACGGAACTTGCCCAGATGGTTTCGGGCTCGGCCGAGGGATCAACTCGCTGCCAAGCCGGCCGAGAAAATATTTGATGAGCAAATAGTGGGCCCAGGAGTCTCTCCTGCGGCCCCGGGTGCCCAGCAATTGACCCTCGTTACTGCCCCTCCAACCGCCCCCCCCGCCAAGGTTCTCCGCCTCCCAGGCGACCATCTGGCCCCAATTACACATTAACCACAGAGCCCTCCCGCCTCGCTATCCCCGACGGCCGCCAAGAATTGCAGCGCCTCCCAGTCTCTCTCTCGCCCTGGACCCACACGGGTGCGGAGGGGAGGTCGAGGCCGGAACGGTTCTCGAGCTCTGGAGCCTCCCACCCTTCCTTTGCCCAAGGGGCAGCGGAGGAGCAGCCCAACGTGGGAGCCCAGTGCGCGCAAGGATGCTCAGAGCGGTCGGCAACCGCCGAGACCGGCTTCTCCCTCGCCTGTCGGGGGACTAATTTGCTGTGGCCTTCAGCCCCCGTTGCCTCCCTCAGAGGAGTTGAGCCTGCGCCGAATCCAAGCCGGAGCTGTTGGTGGCACATCTCCTCTCCCCGGGTGGGATCTGAAATCCCGGGCGGGAGTTGAGGCTTCTCCAGAGCGCACAGCAGGAGGAGCCTCCCTGCTTCCCTTTCTCGGGATGGCGGGCTGGGCAAAGCTGGACAGTGGAACCCACACCTAGCAGACAGTGCCCCCCCCATGAGGCAGGCCTTCCCAGCTGGGCTGTAGCGTTAGACTTAAGGGCAGCTCAGCTCCCCTTCTGCCAGCCTCTTTAGCTGGCAGCAGGGGAAAGATGCGCGCTCTCTGAGCAAACTCGGGCGGTTGGGTCTCCTGGAGGATTCCTGTCAGGGAAAAGTGGGCGGAATCCGGCAGGCAGAGAGGAGGGAATGCAGTGAATGCGAAATCCGGCAGGCAGAGACTTCGGAAACCAGCAGAGAACTGAGAGGAAGTCTGGGAACCGAAAGAAGGAAGAGGGAGAGGCGCTGGGATCGAGCGAGCAGGGCAAGTGTTGCCTGTGGAGACCCAAGGGATGCACTCTGTTCGAGGCGGGGAAAGACAACCCCCCTTCTCAGCAGTTAGTGTGTACAGCTGCAGTTGTGTCCTTTGGGGTCTTCCTGAGGGAAGGGAGCCTGGGCTGTCTGAGAGTGGAGGGATTCCCGAGGTGAGCGAGCCAGGCCGGCGGATCCTCTCACCCCAGCCAGCGGAGTCTCACACGTGAGATTTGCAGCCACAAGCAGTAGGAATGGCCAGCAAGCTGGGGAAAAGCTATCCTCCAAGCGACCCACTCTCTGTGGAGACTTCCCATTGACTGGGTAACGTGAACGGCTGGAGTCCACTTAATCCTAAGCGACCCCTGATCCAGCTGTAGCATTCTTAGTTTCCCAGAGAGACAGTTACACCGCTGGGCAGATCTTACTAGCGGGAACTTTTTCCTTGGGCTGCAAGCCTGGTCCAGACGCTGTTGCTCCTCCCTGCAACAGTCAGACGAGCCTCCCCCTCAAGGGTCAGCTATCGATACCCAAGTGAAGCGGGTGTGTCTCTCTCTGTGTGTGTCTTGCTTGCCTCCTTGCAGGCGCTTCCTGATCGCTGAGAGAGGAGAAATTTGCCGGGGGGGGTGTGTGCCTTTGCCCTCCTCCCTCCCAGCACCCTTGGAAGCTCTTCGGGCGCCAGCTGCGGGGGGGAGACTTCGCTTGCGTGAGTCTGCCTGAAAAGCGCTGGAGCTGTGCAAAGAATCAGCGGAAGAGAAGCCGCGCAGTGCCTCTCTGGTTGATTTGGTTTGGGGCTCTGAGAATCTGGGCTGGGGGGGGGAGGGAAATGGCTGCCCCCAGCTCTGGGCAGAGTCTCACCAGAGCGGGGCCATTGGCCACCCGAAAGCCAGAGTGGAAGAATTCCCAATGGTCTCAGTGGAGCTGAACCTGACGGAGCCGCCCTCCCCGCCGTTCCTGCGCGCGTGCGGAAAAAGCTTCTCTTCCTTCCTCTGGCCCAGTTGTGCCAGCGGCCGTTGTCCCGAATCCAGGAGAGGGGAAACGGCGCTGCCTTCGGAGGCACCGAGACCCTCCTCAGCCTTGCTCTTCCCAGTCAAAACTGGGTACGGGGGGGGGGAGAATCACGGCAGCGCCACTTGGGCAGAACGGGCGGCCAATACCTGTATCCCCCCCCGCCGCCACCCCAGTTTTCTTAGGAGCCATAACTTTAGAGGCGGGCCTCTAAGCCGGCCTCCTTTCAATCCGCTCCAGTTTGCCCTCTAGCCAGGGAGTGCTTATGTGTCGAAGGGCGGTTCTAGCCACCGGCTTCCCCGGCCGGCCTCCCCTGGCCCCGACGGGACCTGCTGAACTGGACAAGAAGCGAGAGAAGTCTGTCCGGCTTGCGGCTCACGTTTCCCACCCTCGCACGCCATTCTGAAACCAGCAGCGTTTGGATTTGGCGTCGCAGGACTCCGGCTCCCCCGGTGGGACCTTGCTTTGGGACCTGTCTCGATTCCGCAGCCCAGCAAACACGGAGGCGGTTGGGCTCTAAGAAAGGCGAGTCGGGGCAAAGCCTCCTGCGCGCTGCGCTCCAGTCCTTCTGATCCCTCCTGATGCTCTCGGCCACGCTCCCCGTGGCCAGGCCACTGCGTCCCGGAGGGCAGCAGGCTCGCTTGGGGGAGGCGCTCGGGATTGTTCCCGAGGGGCGCTTTGGCAAGAAGGAAGAACTGAAGGAGCGCGCGGGATCCCCAAGTCGCTACCGTGGCCGCAGCAGGGAATGTGGGCGGCGCGGGGAGCCGGGTGGGCGACCGGCCTCTCAACAGACGGAGAGGGTCTCCCAACCGTTGCCCCTCCCATGCCCGGCGAGACATCACGAAAGAGGGCCAGAGTAGCCGACCTTTGACTCCCCACTCCCCCCCCCCCCGGAGCGTTTAGGAGACCGTGGTGGATTATGAATCGGCCTTAGGGGATGGGGAGCAGGAGAGAGGCTTCCCGAAAGTCCTGCAGGGCTGATGCCAGAAAGTCCAGCGGAGAGGAAGCCTTAAGCTTGGGTGGATCCAACAGGTGGAAACCAAACTGGGTCAGAGCAAGTAGCAACTCCACACACACACACACACACACACAAATATGTGACGGAGTTATTTACAAAGGATGCCTCAGTGACCCAAACTGAGCCTTTGCTCTCTTGCATTGAACTGAAGCACAAACTTTTTCTTCTGGCTGCCTCTTCCGGATTTGTCATTGGAGAACCTTGCCAACCCCCCCTTCTGTTACAGCAGTCCCCTTCCAGTCTGCTGGGGGGCCCAACTGAAGCCCATGTTGCCCAGTCAGTGAGCGCAAGGGCTGTTCTCTGCCCCCCCCCCCCGAGGCCAGCACGGCACAGACCCTCCGCTTTGGTGCCCGGAATGGGAAAGCGAGCTCTCTTCCCGAGGCGATCCTCAGCTGAGCAAATGGTGCCAGCCTTGTTCCAAAACGGAGTCAGGTCGCCACTATCAGGCTTCAGTGGAGACCCCGAGCTAAACCCACATCATGCCCCCTCCCTTGAAAAGGTTTCTGCAGGCTGGGGGCATTTGGAAAGGAGGGGCAGGGATCCCATGGCGCCGGTGGCGGCTTGCAGGGCATTGACGTTGTTACCTCGCCGGGCAACGAACCAGGACTCCACAGGTCGACCTGGGCTGGAGAGATTTGTTGTTGGGAAGGAGGCCATCGGGCGACCCTAGACTGCGTGTGTGTGGGGGAGGGGGTCGGGACTGCCTGTTGGAGCACGTAAGCGGTGCCGGTGCCGGTTTCCATTAGCGCAAGAACCGATCAAAAGCCTTTGAGCCCAGAGCGTCTCCGTACAAGGAAAAGTCTCTTCAGCCGAGAGTCTTCAGTCTCTTCATTTATTCGGGCCCGTCTCGCGGCGGGGCTTCTCTACAGGGCTGACAACAATAAGGAGGGCTTCGGGCGATACTGCCAACCCCCCCCCACTGCGGAGCCCCCCCGGGAGGGGCCCTGCGGGAAGCGGGGGGGCATCCGGATGGATGGGGGGGCCGTTCAGGCGGTCGCGGCTCCTCC